GAGGCAGGTGTATCTCTGTGAGTTCAAGGCCAGCCTGGTCTACATAGTGAGTTCCAGGACAGCTGGGGCTACAGGGAGACCCTGTCTCAAAAATATAAATACATAAATATAAATAAATACCTTTAGCTAAAGTTTTTTTCTGACACCCTCTTCTGACTTCCGTGGTATTGCATGATACAGGTGCGCTCACATACATGCAGGCGATACACTCATACACATAAAAAAAATTTAAAAAAAGAATAAACAGACTGTAGCTCATAATGCTGAGGAGCTCACTGACAGCAAAACCACATGGGGTCTCCTAACAGGGGTGCAGACACACTGGCCTGAGATTCAGGAAGCAGAGTGGGGGTTGTGAATTCGGTCTTACAATCAGAACCGGTTCTGAAGGCCCATTCTCACCAGTAGGGCGGCAGGTGTGTCTTGAGAGGATAACCAGTGATGACAGGATTTCTGGGTGTGACTCTCAGTGGCACAGTATTTAGGGAAACTTTTCTTAGTTTATTTCTCCAAAGACCTGCATCATAAGTGCTATGAAGTACAGAGAATGCCACTTCAGCTCAGACCGACCTCCTGAGCCAGAATCCATGCTAGTCCGTCTTCATGCATTCAGCTGACTTCCAAAGTCTGACTGCAGCATCTAAGGGACCATCCGGGCTGGGACAGAGGAGGCACACCAGTGAGGTCAGAACCCAGACACCTGCTACCTGACCGCAGTGTGGCATTGGTGGGTCCTGTCCTGCAGCCTTTAGTTGACACACAGCTAGTGTCAGCTGTCAATTTTCCAGTAGCTGCTTTCACACCCTCACAGCTCCATTTATGAAGAACATTTTTTATCCAAAGCCCTCAGAGAGAAGAATCAAACTGCACCACAGTCCGCACGCACATTGTTGACTGGTCGGACTCTGCCTTCACTTGTGAAGTTGACTGCCGTGGCCAGGGCAGGTACCCGTGTTTGCAGGTGTTGGTGAACCTCACCCATTCAGGCCACAAAGCCCTCCTTCACTATGACGAAGAAGCTGCCGAGGCCAACCCCAAGGTAACATGAAGCTCACACCTCGAGTTCCCTTGTAGCCCTTGCACAGCACTGTCCTGAGCAGGGCACAGGTCGTGGTGGGGACAAGTTGGTTTTCAGTCAGCGAGCAATTTTTATTTTTAAAAAAGTCACATAGCCCAGGCTGGCCTCAAATTCCCTATGTAACCAAGGATGACCTTGAACTTTGGATTCTGCCTCCCCTTCCCAAGGGCAGAGATCACAGGTGAGCATTACCACACATTTATGAGGTGCTAAGGACTGAACCCAGAGCTTTGTGCCTGCTAGTCAAGGACTCTACCAACTAAGCCCCAGCCCAGCCCCTGAACACTTTTATGAGATACTCCATTTACCCATCAGAATAAATGAAGCCGAAAGCGACCCTGGAGGACTGGGGCGTGCCGAAAGGACAGGCAGATCCCAGTTCCCCAGCTCAGTGTGTTGAGATTTGCTGCAGGCCACAGGCGGGGCCTTAAGTGGGTGGGCAGTCTCCCTATCACAGCCCCAGTTAGAATACCTCAGTCTACCTTAAGTCAAGCAGTTAATTCTTATTAAGATGTTTAAAGAGCTGTTATAATTTTATAATTTAAGTCTGGTTGGGCTACATGCCTTTAATCCCAGAACTCAGGAAGCAGGTAGACTCTGTGAGCTGGAGACCAGCCTGGTCTACAGGCCAGCCAGGGATACACACTGAGACCCTGTCTCAAAACAAAACAAACAACAACAAAAAAACCCCCACCCAAAATAACAAACCGAAGTTAGCATTTTAACTACTGGTTAAAGTTCATGGTTACACACTCACACTTGGGAGGCAGAAGTAGGTAGAACTCTGTGAGTTCATGGCCAGTCTGGTCTATATAGTGAATTCCAGGCTGCTGGGGCTAGAGGGAGACCCTATCTCAAAAAGACCAAAAAACAAAAGAAACCCCAAAACAAAAAGTTCAGTTACACTTAACTGTGAAAGTCTTATTGGTTGACATGTGAGTTTAATGTTAAGCACTTATTTTAAAGGCTTATTTATTTACTGAGACAGGGTCTCACTGTGAAGTCCTGGAACTCACTATATAGACCAGGCTGGTCTTGAACTCTTTGCATGTAAATGCTGAAATTAAATGTATGTAACTGTGACTGGCTAGGCACTGAACTGGATGGTTTCTGCTTTTCTATTTTGGATGCAGTCATTTCTAAAGTCTCACACAGTAAAATTTATTTTTGTTTATAGTGTGTGTGCGTTGGCACAGGTGAACATGCTGTGTGTGTGTGTGTGTGTGTGTGTGTGTGTGTGTGTGTGTGTGCAGGCCAGAAGACAACTTACAGGAGTCTTTTCCACCGCACGGAGCGCAGGTTGTCAGGCTTGGGCAGCGGCTGCCTGTAAAGCCATCTCCCCAGCTCCAAGTCTCACATTTTTGTAGCCCCTTCACACAGGACTCCCAAAGCTAATGGACATGGTAACAGACCGAGTGTTCTGCGGCACTGGGACACGGCTGCTCTACTCTGTGCAGTCCAGTCAGTCCCCCCACTAAGCCGGATGACCACATTGCATGCTGCCTGCCGAGTAGTGAGCCGAGTCTCTGGAAGCAGACCGCTCCGTGCTGGCCACTGCTGACGTCACCTGTCCTCCCCCTCCCATTCCCAGTGCTTTTACACACCCAGGTGTCCCGGAGACAAGGACGACCTACTCAGCAGTGCCCTGGGCATCAAAGAATTCTTCGACCACAGGAACGGAACTCCCTTCGCCTGCTTCTACAGTCCCAGGCACCCCAAAGCCGTGGTTCTCGTGAGGTCTGACCAGGCCGTAGTCTTCCACTGCTTATTGTGGCCTTCGGCGACTCTGCTGGGTGGGGCCCTGATCGTTGGCATGGTGAGGCTGACCCAGCACCTGTCCCTCCTGTGCCAACAGTCCGGCAGGGTGGGCAGGGCGTCCACAGTGTGGTGTGAGCCTGGGAGGCATGGTGGGACAGGCCTGTGATGCCAGCTCTTGGGAGGCTGAGGCAGGAGGACCAGGAGTTCAAAGCAAACTTGGCCTTGAAACAGATCTGGGGGTTGCAACTCCCAGGAAGAGCATTTGCCTCGAAAGTACAAGATCCTGGATTTGATCCCCAGCATGAAAATGATGCTAAACATAAATCATGCCTGTCTGCAAACCAGCCGAGTAAAGGAAGGTGGGCACTACATGATTTTAATTTGCAGAACACTTTTAAAGTTTTCTTACTCTAAAAATACGTACAAATTTGAAGTTTTTCTTCCTCTAGTCTCCTTCCACACTAGCCAAGGAAGCACTTTGTTCCCTCAGGACAAAATGAGGTCAAGATGCCCTTCCCTTTTCCCTCACTAAGGTCTCCTTGAGCTTGTAAGCACACAAACCAGCAATCACTGTTATCTGCCCACTGAGCACTCAGCTACGAGCCTAGGTAGTGTAGCTCATGTGAAAACATTCTTCATTCAAAAAACAGGGGGAGTGCTTGCCTTGCAAGCCTGAGTCTGATCCCTAGAATCGAGGTTGAAAAAAAGACGTGGTGGCCTGTACCTACAAACCCAGCACTGGGGACGTGGGGAGTTTCCAGAGCTCACCGGTCAGCCTAGCCTGATGTGTGAGCTCCTCAGTGAGATCCTGAGGACACCCACCAAGGTTGTCCCCTGGCCTCCACACATGTGCATGTACATACACACATACACAGCAGTTCGTTCTATATAGATAGACAAACATCATTCAAAATGTGAGAAACCCCAGGCATGCCATGCGGTCTATAGTTTGTTCTTTGCCATTCATTACAAGAGGAGAGCTTCTGTCTAGAAAACTCCAGTTAAGAGCTGTTTGCACTTGACCTTGATATGCAGCATCTTCAACTTACTTAGGCCTTTCCTAAGCTCTTTCCAACCTCTGCACACTCTGGTGGGAACAGGAGAACCAACCAGATATGTGGATGGAGTAGAAGCTGTACCAGGGATCAGTGTTCACCTGACGCCCCTCCCTGCTTAACAGCCCCATGCGATAGTCCTGCAATGCAGTCGGCTGGGGTGACAACTTAACAGTCAAGCCTTCCAGCATGTGCGTCCCAGATTAAGCCCAAAGTTTGCTGATTTTCCAATGTGCCTCAGAGCATCTTTAAAGCCACACCCACACCCACGTTTAATTGCACACAGGAGAATGAGTCTTTTGAAGCAACGCTGATGTGTTACTGTAATCAACCCACACCTTGAGTCCAAGCCAGCTTATTGCCCATTAACTTCAAGTCAGAAATCAGTGAAGAGGATGCCCAGACTGACAGCAATGGGCAGTGAAGACTCTTGGGTCACACCTTCTCTCTAGTGTGATGGTGAGAACATGCCTCAAAGCAGGCTTCGCTTCCGCCCACAGCTTCTCAGGGGTAGGTCCTAACCCAGAAGCAAGGTGGGGTGTGGAACAGCGAGTTTAGCCTCTGCCAACTTGGGGAGTGGTAGGATCACCAGAAGCTGCAAACTGGGGTGATGAATCTGCTGCAGCCAGCCAGGCCCTCCTTGGTGACAGTGGAAGCCATCAGAGCTGTGTCCTCTGCCACCCCAGCCTCCAGCCCCTTGGTTAGCTGGAATCCACGTGTCTCAGGACTTACTGTTTGAAGGTTGTGGAGAACTGCTTTGTATACCAGATCTCCCCATGACGAAATACATGTGCGCATGTACAAGAAACCACCCCATATGAAGTTTATGCTGTTTTCTCAAAGAAATCTCAAACAATCCATTTCCTAGTGAATATGAATTCCATGTCAAGAAGATGCAATTTTTGTGATGTTTCCCTAGCAAAGTCAAACATGGAAGTCTCAAGTGTGTGCATTGGTTACTGAGGTTTTCCATCCAGATCGTGACTGCATCCAATCTAGGAAAGAGACATTAAACTGGAGAACAAAATCAATTTGAAGTCAAATCATTTGGTGGTTCAATAAAATCTGAGCAATGATAGGCTGAGTTGGGAAAGCACAAAGCACTGACATTCATGTCTCACTACCGGTCAAGGGCAGGCCCAGGCTCGTCTTCTGCAACGCTTAAGAATAACAGCAAAGCCAGCTTGCTTCTAGCCTGACTTCACTTGTAGGTTCTGGTCTTCAAAAGACTTGAGGAAACAGCTCATTTCCCACACATTTATAACACACACATACAGCAACGTGTATGCGTGTTTATGTCTGCTTAAAATACACAAATATCTAATCCCCCCTGTACTGGGAATTGAACCTTGGGCCTCAGGCACATTGCTGGGCAAGTTCTACCACTAAGCGACAGGGAATAATACATCACACTCGTCCACGTATGTAATTCTTTATACTTTAAAAGAAATTCGATACATTCCTCTAGAATTTACCAGAATAAAAAGTTACTTTTCTTTTAAAAAATATATTTATATTTTATGTGTACGAGTGTTTGCCTGTATGTAATCTATATGTACTATGTACATGCCTGGTGCCTAGGGGCCAGAAGAGGGTGTCAGATCCCCTGAACTGGAGTACAGATGGTTGGGTTGTGAGCTGCCATGTGGGTACTGGAAACCGAACAGGTACTCTTTAAAGCACTGAGCCAGCTCTCCAGTCCCCAGATTCAGCTTTTCAATCAAATATTCTTAGCCACTGAAATGAACTTGAATCTGACTGCTCACAGCAATACTGGTTTGCTTTTCACAAGAAATGACCAAACAGATTCTCACAGCTCTTGGCTGACATCACATGCTAAGGACTGTCTGGACACAAGACACTTTTTCTTTTTTTTAATAAACAGCGTGATGTTACAGACTGCGCAGTTAAGGACAAGCAGACACTGACAGTTTGTGATGAGCACAGGCAGCAGCAAGTGCGGCCACAGGCCAGACCTCTAGCTAGAACAGCACAGTGGGGAAGAGGTCTTGAATTCAGTGGAGCTGTCTGCTCTAAGCATAATACACGCAACCTTGCTGCAGTAAGTCCAAACTGTTCTTCCCCTTACAGTGCACCAGACCATGGAACTGAAATTCAGTGAGTTCACTGAATGAACAAAATATAGAGCAGTAAACTGGCTACAACTGGCCGGAAAGGGAGGGCAAGCTCAGCAGAGCTGTGGGTGTGGCTGTCTTTGAGGCTACTTTATGTTGTAAAGCCATGTGTTAGTCTGGGTTGTATCTAACCAGGTCAAGTCCAAAGTCTGAATGACAGAGAAATGACTGCTGGAATCTGAAACCTGGGTTCTTGGAGCCTGGGGTGGGGTGCACACCTACAGTAGCGCAGCTATGGAGCTGAGGCTGGAGAGTCCTGATTTTAAGGATAGCCTGGGCTACCAAGGGAGCAGCCTCCTGTGCCAAAAACAAACCCTTTGGGTTCATAATCAAAACATTTGTAGAAATTAGATAAAAGTCAAGATTTCTAGCCACTTTTAGGAGCATACATTAATTTTAATAAGGGACCTTTAAATTCAAGATTTTACTTTATGTGTATGAGCGTATTGCCTGCATGTACGTTAAGTACACTTGTGTCATGCAGTGCCCACAGAGGTCAGGAGAGGGTGTTGGATCCCCTGCAACTGGAGTTACAGATGGTTCTTAGCTGCCATGGGGGTGCTGGGAATTGAACCCAGGTCCTCTGCAAGAGCAGCCAGTACTCTTATCTGCTGAGCCATCTCTCCAGCAGGGCCTTCATTCTTAAGAAATCAACAGCCGGGTGTGGTGGTGCACGCCTCAATCCCAGCATTCGGGAGGCAGAGGCAGGCGGATCTGTTTGAGGCCAGCCTGGTCTCCATAGTGAATCTAGGCCAGCTAGGGCTACAGGGAGACCCTGTCTTAAAAAGACCAAAAACAAAACAAAAAAATTTATTATTTTTATTTTATGTGTACATTTGGAAACTCATACTAGAACTAAAGAGTTTGTCTCTTTTTTGGAGACAGGAGATCACATATTCTAGGCTGGCCCTGAACTTCTGATTTTCCCACTTCCACTTCCTAAGTGTTGGGATTACAGGTATCCACTACCATACCGTTTATGGGGTGCTGGGCAAGGAACCCAGGGCTCTGCACACGCTAGGCAAGCGCTCTACCAACTGAGTTGCGCCCCCAGCCCTAGGAGCTTAGTGTCGTTAATAGTTATTTTAGTAGAAAACACTAAAGGCGTTTTGCCTCTTGCTAACAGACCAACAAAAAGAACCTAAAAATACAGATGACTCTGCCGCTGAGTTACCGCAATGGCTGACTGAGGTTTCAGAGCCTATTCAGTGTACTTACATAGTTCTTTCTGCACTCATGAGCATGCAGAACGGAGTCTACGGCTGGCAGTGGGAGTCAGCTGCCCTCAACTGCACACACACAGGGCCTCCTTCTAAGCCTGCCCACCAGAGACCTTTCTAAGTCAAAGAAATCTCACAGTTCACACTTGCCCCCTCCTCTAACCAGTGGAGACCCTGACACTTAAAACCCAGGCAAAGGGATGGCAAAGCACGAATGCAGGGAGGTACGCCCTTCATCAAGGGAGCACTCCAAAGAGTAAACGAACTAATTAAGACAGGGAGACTCCTAATCACTCAAAACTCAACTTCAGTGCCTTGGTGTCTGTTCATATCTTTGTTAAAGATCCCTGACTAGTGCTAGCAAACACACAGCTGAGAATGGCCACACTAAGAGCGGAACAAACATGCCAGCTCCATGAGCCTAGCACCATGGACCTCTCTGGCAGCAGCTCTTTCCAAATGGTTGGAGCCAGGACAAAGTTTAGCCCCCAATTTTTCCCACGCTGGAATTCCAGCTCCTCATCTGTCTCCCCTATGAGCCTTTGGAGATGAACTTACCAACTTTCCCAGGAGCAAACTTGTCTGAGCTAGGTTCCATCATCCTTCCAAAGAGTAAAAGTAAAGTTTACAAGAAGACCAAACCAAACCAAACCAAACCAAACAAAGGCTTCTCAGGCCATGGCACATAAGATATATTTACAATTTTAATAATTAAAATTGTTTTGTTTGCACTTGAAAACAGCCCAGCTGTATCACCCCACCACCAAGAGTCCTCAAGTGAAGGTGCTGGAGGCCGAGCAGTCAGCCTTCACAGTCCTGTACTTGAAGAGCAAAATCCTCAGTGCTGTGCACACTGCATCCCACAGCTTCCAGCCTCTGTGTGGACATGCCTGTCTGAGTGCCTCCTGCTCAGCCCCTCCCTCCACACGCCCCCTTCCCAAACATCTAAGTAGGAAAGCTGTCCTCATAGCGCAGAAGCACACACCCTACCATACCGTGCACTGCCTTTGGATTCCATGTTTTAGTGATGTGTGGGCATCAATGTCATTCCGTAAGGTGGTCTCTGAGTGTGTGGGTCCAGCCCAGGTCTGTAGTTTACATAGACAAGGAAACACATGGAAACTATTAACATTCAGAAAAGGGTTAACATACCAGTTTTAACATATTACTGGAAATTAAACTGCTTCAAAGAGCTGGCAAGCATGGATTACTGATCAAATTACGAATTCAACAGATTTACAAAGTCGTCATGTAAAAAAACAAACCCAGGCTTACGTGTTGTGAGATTTCCACCGTGCCCTTAATAGGCCACTCCATTTTTCTGATGTCAGATCAGTTTCCAATGGGCAGAGGACACAGATGGGCTGTGTTTTACCTATGTGAAGATCACCATCCATTTAAAATAAAATCCAAGAGGGAATACACATGTAATCAAGTCACCATTTCCTGACTAGTAAGAACTACACTTTACACAAAACACTTTATCAGCAGCTGTTTTCATGAAAAAAACCAATAGTCAATTTCACAGTTGAAAAAGTTACACATTAAAATATTTTACAGTTCATTACATATTCACCCGGTCCCCATTTCCTGACGGGCAGTAAAAGAAAGCAGATGAGAAGGGACAGCCCCGAAGGGGACGACTGACAGCGAGGTTTACAGAAGACACCAAGAACCACAAACAGCACAGGTTCGACTGGGAAACAGCAACCAGATTCCATTTTCCTTTTTAAAAACCCAATTAGAAACATCTCAGAAAAAAAACAAACCAAACTCCACAGTAAGATTTCAAATTAACAGCAGTTCAAAAACCTTCAAAATAAATGTTTTTATGTAGCTGAGACTATGGTAAAAAGTTAAAGCATAATTTTTCAAACATTATTTCTGGCTACCGTGTACTTGGCTTCTCTCTTTAGAAGTGCTTTCCTTCCAGAAGCAACGCCTGGCAGACTATCCTCAACTGACTTAGTGAAGTTGTAAAGTCCTGGCATCATAGTTAGCGTCTACAGGAAGTGATGTTTGAACATGGAAGCACCCGGGGGTGACCACATCACCACTCAGTTGAAGCACAGCTCAATCACCCCCAGGCGTTTCCAACTCGTTTGGCTTTTGCCTTTTTGAACACTACCTTTTTAATCAGTTCTCTTTACAGAATATAGAGTCTGTATCTCTGAACAAAATTAATGTGGTTGTGTTTGATGAAATAAACTAAGCTGCTAGCTGTGTTTTAACTGTGGACAGATCCTGGGTGGGGGTGGGGCTGGGGTAACTGAGCTGATGTGAAAAAATGCAAAAACTCTTATCAGTTTTGTCCAAGAGGCTTGTGGCTTTTTGGCACTTGGGTAAAACACAGCTCTCTGTAGCTCTTCAGTTTCCCATCAAAGTTTCAGATTTGAACCACGTCACTGAGTTTTACTGATACAGGAAAGAATGGGATGTTAGTGTCTAGCAACTGCGTGTATCTAAGTAACACAAAGTGTTAAATGCAAAGTTTGCAAAGTTTAAATAAGTTATGAAGTTTTCTCTATCTGCAAAAGAATCTATCTGGTTTTCTGCTTAAAACAGAGTTTAAATTCTGCTTAACTATTCCAAAAACAGTTTACAGAACTAAGTTCCCCTAATCTTCAGATTTTTCTTGTTGGCAATAATATATACATGCTTCAGTGAAGGACCTAAATCTTCAATAATTATTCCCTTTAAGGGTTCTAAAAGAGTCAGGTATTAAAGAGTATTTTTATTAGTGTCCCCTGTTCACTACTCAAAACTTCTACTATGGGTATCTGACCTCACGGATGAGCATGTTCAAAGTGATGCTGCTTTTCTAGAGGACGGAGCGCACACTCTATGAGGAGGTTCTCCAATAGTGTGCCTAAGCTAGAAGCTGTCAGTCAATTATTGCACTTTTTTTTGGTGTGGCATCTGAGCATTCGCTGAAGCTATTTCCTAGGACAACAATCGTTCATTCTGAATGCGCAGCAGAGCGCCTAGAGTGACCAGTACTAGCACTAGCCCCTACATCAGTGCTTTTCAGAATGCTGAGTAATGTGTTCTGTGTCAAGTGGGATTTAATGATGGTGGAGCAAGACCGACCAGTAGGAAATGGGACATGATCTTAAAATGGCTTTGTGTCTAACTTTTATCGCCGAGGTGTGGATACACAGCCCAAGAAGGGAAAAGCTCATGGCTTACGGTCTCCCATAGTGTACAGAGTCACTCAGGTCCAGACCTCTGTAGAGGGTTTAAGAGTCAGGATGGCAGTCGACACAGCATCCATTTAGTAACTGGCCTTCTATGACTGCCATTCCCGACTACAAGACGGACGGGAGATGAGGGCATTGTGGGATAACGGACAGCAGAAAAGGAAGGCGGTGTGGTTCCATCTGCTTCCTAACTAGCCCCACGGGGCACTGGCATGAATGGAATGGTGCCCGAGCCTCACCTACAGACCGAGAGAAGAGCTAGCCATGCAGTTACCAACAACAAAAAACTTGGGGTGCAAAACAATGCATGACTATGGGACAGATTATGTAAATAAAGAATATATATTAATGATAGTTTCTATAATATAAATAGCCTTTAATAAAAAAAAATAATCTTTTTAATAACATTAATACTTCTATTTTCTGGAAAACATGCATGAAAAAATGTATTCAATTCAATTGCAAAAGGAGAAACAATCAACTAGAAGTGCGCACTGTACAACTCTGGGCAGGAGCGTCTGTCCTTCCTCTATGATGATGACTGTACTTGACGGGAGCCCAGAATTTCCCTAGGAAATAGGTCAGATCTCTGTAAATACTGTCCAGAAAACAAAAACCCTAAAACCCAACAAAACAAAACTGCCCCCGGCCCCAGGTCTCACTTGTGCCCCCTTCCAAAACTGCAGATAAGACCCAAAATCCATCCAAAGGGCTGATTTATTGGAAATAAAAAGTGAGTCCCTTCTACCCCAAGTGTTTTTCTTCATCAAACAAGGAGTCAAAAAACCCACTTTGAACCTTAAGTTTGAAAATCAATGGGAAAATAAGAATTCTCGCTCCTCCCGTTTCCTGTAAGGGAACATAAGCTCCAGCTGACTTGGCCCTGAGGCTGCTCTCAGCCTGGGCTGTGTCCACGTGTTAAACACAGATCCTTGGCAGACAAATAGAATGTCATTCTTTTTTCATCTCCATCATTTGTATGTATTTTGGGGATTTTTGTTTTTTTTGTTTTTTTTTTTAAAAAAAGATACAAACAACCTTGAAAGTTAACCTTTTTTTGGACTTAAGGCATAACATGAAATTGCGCATTATTCTAAAGCTCAATTTTGAAATGAACTAGTTTAGTGCTATCAAACCCTGTTTGCATTTGCAGTACTTAAATTATAGAGCATTCTGCTTGTAATGCTGTTCCTGGCCTGTGCCATCCCTGGGCACTATCTGCCTGCTGCCGCGCTCGCTACTGTGTGGTGGGGAAGCCGGGCACCTGAGTGCAGTTCCCAGCTCCCCCTCAGTTCAAAGCGTGCTGCTTGATAGTGTGGAAGATCCAATCCATTTTTGTCGTCCAGCCGCCATGATGTGCATCATTCATTTGTTTTGTGAAGTATTCCAAAGCCTCTTGCTCAGTTTTATCCAAGGCGAGAGTCTTCCGAATATACGCAATGTCATCAAAGGACTGCAGTTCGGGCATCCCGGAGCCGAGCATCATGGAGAACAGGTTGATGAAGAGATTGGCATGCTGCCGGATAGCTAGGTAAGCCTTGTAACACATCTCCTGAAACCTGCCCACGGAAGAGCATTTGGTCAGTGCAGCCGCTAGTACCCTGAGTTAGAAGAGCTGACTCAGGCAAAGGTCCCCGCTTCCCCAGTGTGTGCTCTAAAGGGTGAACATTGTTTCCTGCCAGACAAGCACCTACAACAGGGCTTGGTACACTGGAATTCAGTCTTCATTGGATGTCTGAACTGCTCCACACTGCAGTAAGGCCTCAAGGGCTCAGGTTCCCAAGGTCAGGACTGACTTGTACAGAGAATGGAAATTTAAGACAAGGGTACGTGCACAGAGGAACCACAGCTCATCGACTCCCCCCGGGTTAGGACTAACGTGAGTTCTAAGCTGCACAGTACAGGATGAGGTAAAATGGAGACTAAACTGTTTAAACAGCAGCAATACTTGCAGTATGTTATGAAGTCTAAGGGGCACTTTCTTTGTAGGCCTTAACTCAATAAAGGAAATCAGTTTTCACTTCTAACCCCCCACAAAATCAGACAAACAAACCAAACCAAAAACATACCACGAGCTGCTTTTGCTAGAGAACATTGATTGGCCTGAGCATCTTAAAAGGCAGCAGCCAGCCTCCCCACTCGGCTGGTTTTCATGAGCTTACCTCTCAAACTCTCTGGTCTTTGTGTATTCTTGGGCTCCTTTACTAATCACTATTAAAAAATCTTGTGTCAAAACAAATGGCACACGTTCCCGTTTATAACCAAATTTCTTCTTCTTGTGATCCAGAAAGTGCCCAAAATCTATATGAAACAGCTTTCAAAAATAAGAAATTACATTATAGGTTGTGCATGTGGACATAAAACACCTTGTTTCAGAACATTTAAAGAACTGGAAGGCATTTTGGAGTAGGCCCCTACCTGCCCATCGTCTTTCACCATGATGTTGCTGTTATGTCGATCTCCTATCCCCAGGATGAATGTGGCCACGCAGTACCCAGCGCATGAGCGTGTGAACAGGTCAATGGCTGCATCGTATCTACAGAGAAGAAACAAACACCTCAGGTGCAATAACAGAAGATTCTCACTGATGTTAAGGAACTCCTGTGTCTGCAGACCTGAGAAGTTGTGAGATTCTCAAGTTTTCAACAAAATTCTAAGGCACATTTTAGACGTTCTTTGACCTAAGCCCAATTCTTATGGAGGGAAGAACTATTTATCATAATTCTCTTCTGTTTCTGTGTGGAATGCAAGCATGTACGTGTGTGGGCGTGTACTCATCAGGATGCAGTGTGGGGGCTGAGGCTGCCGTCTGTATCTTCCTTCTATCAACTGCCTTATTTTCTGAGACAGGGTCTCCATTGAACCTGGAGCTCAATGACTGGCTAGACAGCCGGTCATTGAGCCCCTAGGATCTAGCTGCCTCTAGGTCCCCACCCAAAGCACAGACTTGAGCCACTCATCTTTATGTGGTGCTGGAGACTGAGCTCAGGGCCACTCGCTTGTGTGGCAAGCACTTCATCTACTAGGCCATCTCTCTCGCTCCCAATTTACCTTTCTCTGAGATAAGGTCTTACACTAGCAGTGCAGGCGGACTACCTGAATTCCCTAAGCAGCCCAGGCTGGGCTTGAACTCATAGCAACACTCTTGTGTTAGCCTCTTGAGCGCTTTGTTTCTAAATATTTTATTTTTATTTTAAGTGTATGAGTGCTTTGCCTGCAATGTATGTAAGTGTACCACATTCATGCAATGCCCTGAAGAGACCAGAAGAACTGGAGTTATGAATGGTTGTTAGCGACATGTGGGTACTGGGAATTGAACCTGGATCCTCTGGAATAACAGCAAATGTTCTTATTTGAGGAGCCATTTCTCTAGCCCCTTGTTTCCCTGTAACCACAGCTATCCTAGAAGTTGCTATGTAGATCAGGCTGACCTTGATTCAGAGCTCTGCCTGCCTCTGCTTCCCAAGTGCTAGGATTAAGGGGATGCACCACCTCACACGGCTTAAGACTTATCTTCAGTTGTGCATGTGTGTGTGTTCATGTCAGTGCAGGTAGCCATGCAGGTCAGAAGAGGGGCATTAGATTCCCTGGAGCTGGAGTTACAGGCAGTTCTGAGCTGAGTGATATGGATGCTGGGGACTGAATTCACATTCTCTGGAAGAGCAAGTGCTCTTGGCTGCTGAGCCATTTCCCCAGCCCTATAATGTTATTTTTAAAGGAAGAATAAGCAGTAAAGCGAATGTGAGATATCCATGGTACAGGCTCTACCAGATTACCAGCTCCCATCCACACAACAACCACAAAGCCTTCTACCAGATTATCAGCAATTCCATCCATATACAACAACCACAAATATTTCCAAAGTCAACCACGGTTTTTCTAAGTACAACTGTTTTCTCCTTAACTTCAGAGTCCACTCAATCACATGGAGGAACAGGAACAGGCTGAGGCAGGAAGAGCAACTCACATCTCGCCCTTGTTCTTGTCCTTGAGCCACTGATGCAGCGTGTGGCTGTTGAACTGCAGAGCCCCCTTCAGGCCTCCTTTGCACTGGATCTGCATGATGGTATGAGAATTCCTCACCACCTCAATGAGCCCCACACAGTCCCCAATCGACAGACAGCCATAAGGAAGCATTCTGGAAAATTGACAGTTAAAGATGGAATTTTAAAACAGTAAATATTTTAACAGGCCAAAATTTCCACGTTGAATTCGTAGCTTAGTCACATTCAACCTTTATAGTCACAACCTACTATTCTTAAGTTTCCTTTTCGTACTGACAAATGTATTCCTGGGAAAATCCTCAAAATTACACTTTCACACTTATGAAACTTCTGAGAAACCCAAAGGCTTTTTACATGAGGGTCGCATCTGTTGATGTTAAAAGTTAAAAAACTATGATATTTATTAATTCCTCTAAGACTATTATATGCTAATGTATCATCTCTATGAAACAAAAAGTGAGAAAATGAATTTCACATTTTTCTTTTTTAAATTTTATTTTTCTTATGTGTATGTGTGTATTGCCTGTGTGTAGGTAAGTGCACCCATGCCACACAATGCCCTCAGAGGTCAGATGAGGCTGTCAGTTCCCCTGGGACTGGAGTTAGGACAGTTAGCTGCCATGTGGGTTCTGGGATTTGAACCCAGGTCTTCTGTAAGAACAACCAGTGTTCTTAACCGCTGAGCCATCTCTCCAGCCCCACCCCCCTTTTAAAGGAATTTCACATTTTTCAGAATCTTTCTTTTCATGTCTGGGTTTGAGAGCCAGTCCCCCCCACCTTTTTTTTTTTTGGTTCATTGGTTTTGTGAGACAGGGTCTCCCTTTGTAGCCCTAGCTGGCCTGGAACTTACTATGTAGACCAGGATGGCCTCCACCTCACAGAGATCCACCTGCCTCTGCCTCCTGAGTGCTGGGATTTAAGGTGTGTGCCACCATGCTCAGCTAAGATTTTTTTTTAAGCATGTACGTGTGTGCCTGTGTGAGTTTATGTGTACCATGTGTGTGCAGGATCCCACAGAGGCCAGAAAAGGGTAGGTGTCATATTCCCTGATACTGGAGACACAGGCAGCTGTGAGCTGCCATGTGAGTGCCGGGAACTGAACTCTGGTCATCTCCAAGAGGGAAGTGCTCAAGTGCTGAGCCAGGGCTGCAGCCCCAAGACCAGCTGCAGTTTTATATACATTCTTGTAAGTAATTGCTCTAGTTTGCTTTCAATTGCTGTGACAAAACACTCTGACCAATACCAACTTGGGGAAGAAAGGGTTTATCTGGCTTACATCTCCTGGGTCACAGTTCATCACCAAGGCAGGAACTCAGGGCAGGAACCTGGAGGCAGGAGCTGGAGCACAGGCCATGGAGGAATGATGCTTATTGGCTTGCTCCCCTGGTTCATATTCAAACTGCTTTCATATATAACACAGGCCTACCTGCCCGGGGGATGGCACCACCCACAGTGGGCTGGGTCCTCCCACATCACTCAACAATCAAGAAGATGCCCCCCCAGACATGGCCACAGGTCAGTCCAATGAAGGCAATTCCCCAATTGAGGCTCCCTCCAACCAGGTGTGTCAGGCTGACACTAAAGCCATCCAGCACAGTCATCTACAGGAGTTTTCTTTCATTGACATTTTGTTTTTCTTTTGAAACAGGGTCTTGCCTTATGGTCGAAGCTGGCCTCAAACTGAAGCTCCTCCTGCCTCAGCCTCTTGAGCACAAGGCTTACAGCTACATCGCCATGTCTGGTCTTACACACGGTGCTTAGGTGAAGTACAAGAAGCACCTGGACTGGGCAGCTGGAAAAGGAGGCAGTGTGACCCGTAGCGACCTCTGAGGACAGACACTGACACTATTCAAGTTGCAATGTGGTCTGAAATTTAATCAGTAAACTTCCTACTGTTTCATTAAACTAACTGATTCAAATTGTCTTTGAATGATCTTTTACTTTGAGATATTCTGGGATCTGTATGGTTGTCCAGAAGACCACTGGTTCACCAAGTTATACAGATTTTCTAAATGTTGATGCTTATTTTTATACCACAGTAAAACAAAACAAAACAAAACAAAAATCAATTTGGGGGCTGTTTTTTGAGACAAGGTCTTGCTATAGAGCCCTGGCTGGCCTGGTTTTCCTTCGATAGACCAAGCTGGCTTAATTTTAACTCCTGTCAGCCCTTCTCCCTCAGCCTTTAAAACTCTGGGATTACAGGCCGGAGCCACAATGCCTGGCCACAAACTGTTGATATTAGCACTAATCTTATCAGAAAAGTCTTAAGTTTGGGAAATGCTAAGTTCTTCAAATTTCTATTTTTCCTTCTAAAGTGCAAATGTCACTGGAAACAAATAGCATCACACGTTCCTCTGGAGAGGTGTAAGAGGCCAGCACTGTTCATTTTCAGAGAAACACTTGCCTGCACCCGTATCAGAATAACCATGGCTTGCCCATTAGACTTATTTATAATTTTTGGAACAGGGCTTTGTATTTAGTCCAGGTTGGCCTCAGACTGGGATTCTCTCATCTCTACTTTCTGATGGCAGAGATTACAGGCACATATTTACACTTGATCTATCCATTTTTAAAGAATAAAAATGGTATTTCATGAAAAAAGATGTCTAGTTTTATAACCTAATCTCCTTAGTCCAAGCATATTTTGGGATATGAAGACGTGATTCTGGTACTTTCTGTCTTGTTACATTGAATAGTAATAAAAATAAGCAGTGTGTGCGGTCAAAGTGGAGCCCCGGGCTGGTAGGAGCAGCACTCGGAGCATGCGTTCTTCGCTCTGCTGGTCTCTCTCCTCCCTCCCTTCCTGTGCTCTATACTCACTTTCATTGTCTGAATTTGCTGTGGCCCATTCTAGGCCTACTGTTTGCTACCTGGAGTCCTTACCACCCCCAGAACCCTCGTTCCTGAGGCCCCACACTCCTGTGAACCTTTCCCTTTAGGCTCCTGGCTAGCTCCCTGCACTTCTCTCTTAGGCGGGCACAGAGGCTTCTCCCCTACCTGCCCTGATGGGCACAGAGGCTTCTCCCCTACCTGCCCTGATGGGCACAGTGACTTCTCCCCTACCTGCCCTGATGGGTACAGTGACTTCTCCCCTACCTGCCCTGGCAGGCACAGTGGCTTACCAAGGCACCTCTGCCCGTTCTGTCCTGTTTCTTCCTCCTATTACTATTGAGCAGTAATTCTTGTTATATGAAAAATAAGTAGTTATAATAAATTTGAGTCTGGATTATACTTTTGATAAGTATAAAAATGCTGGGGTTGGGGCTGGAGAGATGGCTCAGTGGTTAAGAACACTGGCTATTCTTACAGAAGATCTGGGCTGGGTTTGTATCCCAGCACCCACATGGCCGCCAAAAACTGTCCGTAACTCCAGTCCCAGGGGATCTGACAGCCTCTTCTGACCTCCGCGAGCATCGCAGGACACAGGTGCACTTACCTACATGCAGGCAATACACACATACACATATAATAAAAATAATGAATAAAATTTAAAAAAATGCTAGGGCTGGCTCAGTGGCAGTTTCCCCAGTGTGCCTGAGGCCCTGGGCTCAATTCCTCACCCCACAAAAAGATAAAAGCTGCTGTAATTTTACTTTAGTGCTTTTTACTTAAAATTTAGGTTGCAAATAAATTTTACTTTAATTCACTTAGATAACAATACTGTAAGCCAAAACTCTAAAATTTGCAGTCTTAATACTGGATACTTTATTTGCATAGCTACTGCCTGACAACCACCTACTACCATTTCCAGAGCTGGTCAGCTGACCCTCACTGCTCAGTTCTGCAATCTCAGCTCCACTGCTGAGTGGTCCTGGCAGCACAACATTCTCTCCCAACACAAATCACACCAGAAAGGAGGCTGACCTGGAGAACACTGTCTTTGGATAGCAGCAGGAACAACACAGTTTATCAGGAGTGGAGAACATGAAGTGGATGACTTAATTCTGTGCCCAAACTGGGGACTTAGATCCATTTTCTTCTCTGCACTAGTGGGTGTTGCTGTTTGTCATGGATGGTTCTGACAGTCCACCATGACCAGTCTCCAAGAAGCACCCTGACTCGCCTCCTGTACCATCTGAATTCTCCTTAACCCACTTCCCTGCAGCCAGCCTGTAACATGCCCCTTCGACCACAGCACTTAGGGAAAGCAGCTCAGTGTCCATGACTGTTAATGGATTTGCAAAGAGAGAAGTAACTGAAAGAAGATCTATCAGAAGCAGCAACTACCAGAGATTAAGCAAGTCAGAAAATCTACAGGAGGGACAGAGCAGTGGATGATGATGGACAGAGCAGTGGATGATGATGGACAGAACAGTGATGACGACTATGGGCAGAGTAGGGATGACTATGGACAGAGCAGGGATGACGACAATGGACAGAGCAGTGATGAAGACGATGGACAGAGCAGTGATGACAATGGACAGAGCAGTGATGACGATGATGGACAGAGCAGGGATGACGATGGACAGAGCAGGGATGACGATGGACAGAGCAGGGATGACGACTATGGACAGAGCAGGGATGACGACGATGGACAGAGCAGTGATGACGACGATGGACAGAGCAGTGATGACTATGGACAGAGCAGTGATGACGACGATGGACAGAGCAGTGATGATGACGATGGACAGAGCAGTGATGACGACGATGGACAGAGCAGTGATGATGATGATGGACAGAGCAGGGATGACGACGATGGACAGAGCAGTGATGATGATGATGGACAGAGCAGGGATGACAACTATGGACAGAGCAGTGATGACGACGATGGACAGAGCAGGGATGACGACGATGGACAGAGCAGTGATGACGACTATGGACAGAGCAGGGATGATGATGGACAGAGCAGGGATGACAACGATGGACAGAGCAGGGATGACGACTATGGACAGAGCAGTGATGACTATGGACAGAGCAGTGATGACGATGGACAGAGCAGGGATGATGACTATGGACAGAGCAGGGATGACGGACAGAGCACTACTGACCATGAGGAGGGAAGGTGAGTACGGTAGAGCACTGATGACTATGGACAGTGTGAAGGTGACTGTGGAGAGGGGGAGACAAACCAGGAAACTGATAATGGCCTCAGTTGTTTTCATAAGTTTTGGTGCAATTGATTCAAGAGCGGAGGCCTGATGACACTTGAGAATTAGCACACCTCCTGATGGAACTTGCTTTTGAACTTTGCCGTATCTGACTTTGCCATATTTGACGACACTCCACAGCATGTGCAAAGTCCTCAGGAGCTCGGCAGACTCAGCTCTTCCCACTTAGCTGAGTCTCATCAGTTACTGGGCCAAGCAAGAGGAGACAGGTCAGGGCCACTGGGATCAGCTCCTGTCATCGCCATGCACGCAGTTCTCAACACACACGTGCATTGCATGGGCTTTGACAATCAACACTAACTCTTGGAGCTGAAGAGCTGGCTCAGCAGGTAAGAGCACTGGCTATTCTTGCAGAGGACCCAGGCTCAACTCTCAGTGTCCACATGATCAGCTAACAACCTTCCATAACTCCAGTTCCAGGGGAATCCGAAGCCCTCTTCTGACCTCTGCGGGCATTGAACAACACGGGTGCACTCACATACATGCAGGCAATACACTCATACACATAGATTAAAAAAACAAAACAAAAAAAGACTAACTTGCACTGGTGCGCTGATCACCTACCGAAGGTCGAGGCCCTGGTTCTGCCAGATGTTCTCCATGATGCGGATGATCTGAAGAGTCAGCATGTCTTGCCGCAGATCTGAAATCCAAATACGCATCACCACGAAGCACGGTAAACACAACCAGAGGAGCACAGCACCATTATTTTCAAATGGAAACAGCTGTATTTAATCCTCAAGATACTTTATAAGATAGCAGTATTCTGATTTTTCAATCTACTTCTAAAGTATTCGCCCAATCATCCGGTAACAAAAGATTTCACGAAAGCTCTAAGTACATCTAAACTATTTATTTCATGAACTCCTAAGTCTAAATGCAGGCTGACACTGACACTCCATTGTGCTCTGTCCTCAGAAAGTCACTGACTAAGCCCCTCTCCCAGCCCATTCTCCATCAATCAGGACCTTCTTTCAGACCGCCTCAGCGGACCACACTCCTTACATTATTTGGTCCTTTCACCTGTGTCATTTTAATGTTTGCGTTTAATGCTCTTTTCCTGGTTAGACTTTAAGCTATAGAGAACAGTCTACCACAGTCCTAAGGACCAGCACACAGAGCACCTACAGGAGAACTGCCATGCAAACCACCCATGCCCACAGCAAGTGAGCCAAGGGAGATGTGTATTTCAGGAATCCTGATTACAAAAGAGTTCAAGTGCCACCTGAACCAGGGAAGATGGACTGACCAGGCTGATGCTCAACTGGAGACTGACTCCAGGTCCTGACAGATGTCACCTATTCTAAATATTCTAAGGGCTGCTCTGAGATAACTTTTTGAGACAGTCTTGTGTAGCCTGGCCTTGAACTGGCTGTTTCGCAGAGGATGACCTTGTCAACATCTGATTCTCCTGCTTCTAGCTCCCAAGCGCTGGGATGACGTGGTGTGCCACCACTTCCAGCTGAGCCACCTTGTACGGAGATGATTTTACCTGAGTACCCAGGGTAAGGAACGTCAGCCTTGTTCCCATTCGCACGTAATCACTGGGCACTAGATCAGAACTGCAGGGTCAACCTCCGGTTGGTCTGCCCTGGTTCACGACAATTGAGTTCTTTTCAGAGGGAGGGTCTACCTTTAAGGCAGATAAGGGGGGCTGAGAAAAGATGCCTGCCTGCATCCACTCTCCGGAATCCCTCCAACTCCATATACATGGTCTCCGTGTGTGGGGGGGTGTTTATTTTACCATCGCCATTTTTGAAGATGATCTCATTGTTCTGGAACAGCAGCTCCGACATGATGTCTGGGTTCTCCCAGTTCAGCCACAGTGGTCTTTTTGCAGAGGACATGATCCGACACTCTTCAAGCCTGTAAGAGAGTCGAGGACTTCACCAGGCACTCGAGCTTTGTTACATTTGTGGGTCTCAAATTTACGTTAAAATGTACATACAGTTCAGCTTTGTGCAGTGCTATAAGAATTAAAACTTTCAATTTTTATATATGAATTGATTCCAAAGGACTATAAAGACAAATATTAATCTTTAAAAATGTTTATGACTACAGATGTTCACAAATGTCTAAGGATACATCTTTAGTTTTATGTAGACCACATTTCACTTCTTATGATCGCAGAACTCCTTTTTTCCTTTTTTTTTTTTTTGAGACAGGGTCTCCCTGTAGCCTCAGATGGCCTGGAACTCACCATGTAGACCAGGCTGGCCTTGAACTCACAGAGATTCACCTGCCTCTGCCTCCCGAGTGCTGGGACTAAAGGTGTGCGCTACCACACCTGGCCTTGATACCAGAACTTCTCACCACAGAAAAATTTAAACTCTTATCAAAGTAGCAAAAACTTAATTCTCATAAACGCAGCTCTAATTTAAGACAATTTTATTATTCTAGTTTTGTAGGAACTGGAGGACTGGATTTCTGTCAAGTTTCTAGAAGGGTACTTATTTAAACATACCAATAAAGCTGCTAAGAGCACCTTACCTGAGGTTCCCTAGTTGGTGAGCAGGGTTTAGAGGGGACAGAAAGCCCTGCAAGGCATCCATGAAATCTGGCTGCCTCATCTGTTCAACTAAAAACTTCATCTGCACCTGATAAAAAAAAGTGCAACCCCAGTTAGAAGTGTCCTCTGTGCACTGGCTGCTCTCACAGCTGAGCTCAGTAAGGAAGGCCAGATGCATGAGAGGCAAAATCTCAAGAACTTACTGCCTGGCCCTTTAAGAAAAAAGCGTGCTGCTCCTTACTTTTAGAGGGAAAACTACAAACACTGTGGTGGTTTGAACTAAGAGCATCCCCCACTGGCTCCAGGTATCTGAACACTGCCCCCCGGGGGTGGATAGTGTGGGTTTAGGGGTTGGGAGGTGCAGACTCCCTGGAGGAAGCAGTTTACTGGAGGGCGGGCTTTAAGAGCTCACAGCCTTTCTCCATTTCTCTCTCTGCTTCCTGTGCCTGACTGAAGGCGTGAGTGTTCAGCTTTGGAGGCCTTCTGTCATGCCTCCCCCACCATGATGGACTCTCATCCCTCCAAAGACCACCCACCTTAGACCTGAGCTTTAGTATTCTTGCTTTTAGTCCTTCCAGAAAACACCACATTTACACTCTGTCAGGTAAAAAAGCCTCATCAGGCTGAAAGAACTTGGAAAACCATTTGCTACATAGTGTCTCATACTACATGTAGTTTCTAGTATGTAGCTAATATAGAAACACCCTTTCAGTCAATGCAAATCATCACAGATGGGACCATCAAGCAATATCAGGTATGTTTTCTTTAGGAAACCTCCATTTACTGAAGACAATATGTAATGATGGGGAAAAAAAAGAGGTTGGGAGCTGGGAATTCAAAATGACTTTTCCCAGTTGAATGTGAACAAAAGACCCTTTCCCACCTCTTACTATATGTAACGGAAGAGCTGACAAATCTCACTGCTGCTGAATATGCAGCTGGCTTGGCTGCAGGCTCCTCTTCCACCACGTCTGCCGAATGCACTGTGAGCACTGAATGCACTGTGAGCACCGAATGCACTGTGAGCACCGGGCTCCCTGCACCTGATCTCTCAGGCTCAAAGGCCAACACCGCCCACAGGAACCGCCCACAGCAACAGCCCATTCCCAGAGGCAACTCCAGTTCTTCCTCAGCCCCTCAGTTCTTCCTCAGCCCCTCATGAAACCAACATGATCTGAGTGATGACTTCCACATTCCTAATTTGAAACAATGTACCAATGTCAACTTGTGACAGGAAAACTCTGGCATGAAATAAATGCTTGTATTTACAAGTTATCTGCTGCCTGGCTTTTTAAAACTCAGTTCTTCCAAAGCAGTCCTCTTTTGCCCATGAACTGTCACATCAGAAACAGTTCAACTCTTTTCTCTTTTTAATTTTGCATTTATTTCTTTATTTGTGTCTGTGTGTGCATGCCACTCTGGACAGGTAGAGGCCAGACTGAGGCCCGTGGGCGTCAGTACTCTCCTTCCACCATGTAGTTTTGGAGCTCCAACTCAAGTGGGCAGATTTGGAGGCAAGTGCCTTTACCTGCGGAACCACCTCACCAGCCCTCTTCTCTTTTTGAGACAGGGTCTCAGGTAGCCCAGGTTGGCCTTGAACTTGCTATGCAGCCAGGGATGACCTTGAACTTCTGATCCTCCTGCCTTGGCTTCTTGAGTGCTGGGACTACTGATGTGAACCACTAACTATCCTTCTTGGTTTCTGTGGTGCTGGGGATGGAATACAGGCTTATGCATCATGCTATGCAGTCACAGACACATCCCCAGCTTTTACATTTACTTTTTTTTTTGGTCTTTTTGAATCACGGTCTTCCTGTAGCCCCAGCTGTCCTGGAACTCACTATGTAGATCAGGCTGGCCTTGAACTCACAGGGATCCGCCTGCCTCTGCCTCCCAAGTGCTTGGATTACAGGCGTGCGCCACCACGCCTGTCTTACATTTACTTGCTAACAACCTATATTTCAATCTATATACCAAACTTTAAAAGAACCAATTCACTCACATACTGTAAGGTATTTAAATTAAAGCAGTAACTTTCTTTTAGATTAACACAGTAACTTTTAGATTAATGCAGCAACATTTTTAAAGAGTTGTTTTTTCCTTCCAATAGTATTAATGAAGATATTAGGAAAATCAACTCAACATTGCTAAGTTACATTCTTTGCCCCTTGGGACTCACAGGTGAATGGATTCCCCTCCACTTGAGGCAGAAGTACTCGCTTTTCAGAGGTGATGAGGTCGGTGAGTGAGCCATGGGCCTGAATGAAGAGGGCGGTAAGGTCGGGAGCCTGGAGTATGACAGGTGCTCACAGTACCCAGTTCAAACTGGGAAAGGCAGAACCTAACTTCTCTTCACTCGTTTTCAGGGTCATTCCCAAGATAATAAATGAGGTAAGGAAAGAATCACTTTTAAAAGATTTTTTTTTTTTAATGTGTATAAGTGTGTGCCTGATGTACATATATGTACTATGTGCATGCCTGGTGCCCACAGAGAAGAGGGTGTCAGATCTCCTGGAACTGGAGTCACAGAAGGTTGTTACCCACCATGTGGGTGTTGGGAAAGGAACCCAGGCCTCTGCAAGAACAGCCAGTGCTATTAACTGCTGAGCATCTCTCCCATTGGAAAAGAATCATTTTAATTTCTTACAGCTACATAGAAAGTATGTACCAGACGCCAGTCACGTGATTAATTTTGTGTTCAGGATTGCCTTATGTTCAAAATACAATTCTCACCTTAGAACTGAGGAAAATGAGTCCTGGGCACCCGCATAATTGTCACACAGCTAACAGGCAAGGGCATTCAATCTGAAATCCTAACCTTACTCATGGCAAGAGCTACCATCGACATGCTCCCCAAGCTTTGAAACCATCCAGTCCCAGTGCAAGGAAAGAGTGTGCAAAGCCACAGGGGTGGTGGGCACCTTCTGCGTCTCATCCTTCTTCTCCTGCTTCAGGATGTCTGTCAGGTTGATGAGCTTCTCCATGGCCTCCACCTGTCTGTTCAAGTGCTTCAGATACATCCCACAGGCACGGCAGTAAGACTCCAGCAGCAGGCCGAACCTCTGACTGACTGTCTTGTTGTGCATTTCAGACCTAAAAGAATGAGTGAGATTAAAAAGATGTATACAGGGGGGGATGGCACAGCAGTTAAGAGCACAGGTTCCTCTTGCAGAAGACCCGGGTTCAAATCCCAGTATACACATGGTGGCCAAGAACCATCCGTAAGTCCAGTTCCAGGGGAATCTGACACCCTCTTTTGAACGTGGGCTTTGCATAATATGGGTGCACTTATTTACTTACAAGTAATACACATAAAATAATCCTTAAAAAAAAAGATGAACAGAAGCCGGGCATGGTGGTGCATGACTTTAATCCCAGCACTTGGGAGGCAGAGGCAGGCGGATCTCTGTGAGTTCGAGGCCAGCCTGGTTCACATAGTGAGTTCTAGGACAGCTGGGGCTACAGGGAGACCCTGTCTCAAAAAGGCAAAAAAAAAAAAAAAAAAAAGATGAACACATAGTTTTCAACGAGCAAATATACTTTCTTCAGAAGACAGGAAAACCCATTTTTCTAATCCAATTTAGAAGAAAATCATCAAGAGTTTTAGGTACTTCTTGGGCCATGTAAATGTTAGTAAAGCATTTTATTATTTAGGCTTATTCTAGTTGTTTCTGTTCACTAACCTCAGTGTAAGATACACAAGATGAAGGAGAGGATGCTGAACAATAACGAAGTGAACCACGGGGAGGAGCCTAGTGCACCTTGTCACTTTCTAGATTGTCTCTAAATTTATTTTAAACCTATCTTCTAGGATCCACTTTTTATTTTAACATTAAAAGGAAAATCATCTCAGACACAGTCTTTTCTAAATTACTAACGACTAGACGGTTTAGGAGAACTCTGAGGACTAGTAACACATTCTACATTTTTCTACTTTTTAAAGAGATTTATTATTTATGTATATGTGTGTCTGCCCATGTGAGTCTGTACATGCCATGTGCATGTAGCCCACAGAGGCCAGAGGAGGGCATCAAATACCCTGAACTGAGTTAGTTACTAGGTGCCACGTGGGTGCTGGGACCTGATCTCTGGTCTTCTGCAAGGGTGGCCAATGCTCTTAAGCAGAGCCATTACTCTAGGCCTCTCTTCCACTTTTGATGCAGGGTCTCTCAATGGAGCCCAGTCTGGCCAGACACTGGTTACTGTGAGCCTCTGACTCAGCCTCCCCAAGTCCTAGGATCAGTGGCAAAAGCCACCGAAATTTATACCAGCTCTGTACAAATTTTCTCTTAGTGAGCTTTTCTTGTAGGAAACACGGGACTTTGCCATTATAGTTCTGAATTCCAAAGCAAAACTTTCATTTTGAGATCTTTATTCATGGTCATGGTGAAACCTACAGTAAGTTTTATCTGTATTCTGAAATCTTACCTTACCCAATCTGGAGTCAAAACCTTTAAAAGTATTTGCAGTCACTCAAGTATAGAGTTCAGTTCTAATTTTTACTGCTTTTAATTTCAAAGAGAAAAGTTGGTACAACAGATTTAACAAAGTAAAACAGATTCATACATTTATTAAGGCAAATTATACATATGAGAAGAATTTTTTAGGGAAATAATTTGACTTACTTTAAATGCCAAAAGAAAAAGTGGCCGATCCTTTGATTTGTCAATGCTTTCTTGAGCAAAAATCTCACGAGGAGGTTATCCAAATACTGTTCATATTTTAGGACCTGAGTAATTGAAAAGAACATACAAAAATTCAGACGAAAGCAGACCCACTTCTGCATAGCAGGATTTAAAGAAAACTTTCAGAGACAAAGTAATCAGTAATAACATGGTTTAAAAAGCATATTAATGCTGAGAAACTACCTGGATGGAAGGGAAGCATCATCTTCAATCATCTCACCTGTACAAGCTGGATTAGGTACTGAGAAAGCTTGTCGTCTGTTAAGTATTTTTCCAAGCACCGAACGGCAAAACTCCGAACCATAGGATCTGGATAATTACAGTCTAGAAGCTCCATGGCCTGCTCTGGTTTGATTGGAGGCCAGTCTTTCACTAAGCAGTACATCTGTGCAGAGAAAGATGACAAACCCTATGTAAAAATCCAAGCACTGTCTTAACCGCTGCTTTTAAAATCAGTTTAAAGAAAGCCTCTTCAGTTTCATTAGTGTATCCTTGGAAACCGCACGATGGGTGGCTTTTCTATTATGTCATCATAAGAACATACAGTCTACTTTATCTCTCAAGTGGATGCAGATTTTCTGAGCGTTAAAGATTTAGGTAACACATTGATTTGTCTGAGAGTTCCCAAATGACCCCACAGGTGACTCACCTGGGCCACTTCATCTCTGGAATTCCACTTAACAGACAGAAGCAGTTTGGGTAGGATTTCAGGAATAGTTACACAATAGTGTCTGTTGGGAAAGATAATATAAAAAGCATTCTTCCATGGTTCAAAAGGCCTAGATGTCTAACTCCCTAAGTAAGAAATCTTCAAGCAGTTCTGAACTCCTTAGTACTACAACCTTCCTGAAAATCCAACCATCTGTGTTAAGAGACTATAGTTGTACACACATTTACAGTATCTATGCAGTTAAAATGGTAAGGATTTCGGGGCACGAGGATGACCCTCATGGAGGATTAGGAGCAGCTGTGCGTTGCTCTGTGCTTGGACACTAATCATTGCTCTCCGTGAACCTCACGAAGGTGCTGATGTGTTTCTTGCACTTTCTCTAGAAATGAACTGCAACTCTTACAGTTAAAGACACGAGTGTTGGGGGCTGGCACAGGAAAAGGTGATTGCCACCAAGCCTAATGACCTGAGTTCCAAACCCAGGACCGTCATGGTGGAAGGAAAGAGCTGGCTCCTGTAGACTGACCTCTGGCCTCCACAATCATGGCACATGTGCCCCTGCCCCTCAATAATAAATAAAATAAAAATTAATGAATAAAATTAGTGTTATAAGTAACAGCACATTTTCACCTGAGAAGGCAGCACAGCTTTTTTCCTTGAAGAAAATGGGGGAGGACTCACAGAAACTGTGTACACAGAGCTGGTCTAGGGTAGGAAGGACTCACAGAAACTGTCATACGGAGCTGATCTGAAACTATTATGCTTTTCCCTTGAATATATATATTTCTTAAATTCTAAGAAAGTAATACTGGAGTTAGAATTTTCTTAAAAAGCTGTCAGGGTCTGGGGCTATTATAACTCAGTGGCTTAGTGTGAGCTCTGCTTCATATTAAAAAAAAGAGAAATTTAAGGCCAAGCACAGAGGCACATGCCTTTAACCCCAGCACGTGGAAGCAGGAGGATGTCTGAGAGATTGAGGCTAGCCTGGTCTACAAAGCAAGTTCCAGGCCAGCAAAAGCTACATAGTGAGACTCTGCCTCTTAAAAAAAAAAAAAAAAATTTGGTAGCATGCTTATCCAGCATTCCAGCATGTCTGAGGCCCTGGGCTCCATCCCAACTCCCCGTACCTTGTAGACCAGGTAAGGTGGCTCATACCTGTAGGCCTAGCTCTCAGGAGGTAGAGGCAGGAGGATCAGAAGGTCAAGGTCACCTTCAGGTACAGTTCAAGGCCAGCCTGGGATATATGAAGCCCTGTCTCAACAGGATTCAGCCTGAGCCACATAGTGAGCTCTCTAGACTAGCCTGGTCTACAGTGTGAGACCCTATGTCCAAAAGCAAAGATATGCTGGGTCACCCAAAGTCAGGGTTCCCTAACAACAGAAGCCCAGCTCCCCATCACTGACCCCAGCCCACCCCATTGCACCCCACATGCTTTGAGAGCTCATTTCCATACTTGCCTGTGGCTCCACAGGAAGTCCTTCTCCTGCTCAGTGATTTCCGACAGAGGGTCTCGGGTACAGAGTGCCCGGAGCTGCTCTTTGTCATTTTCTCTGAGCTCGTTGTCTCTAGCTAGTCTATTACTCTGCAAAATAAAGTAACGTTTTACACGGATTTCTTTGCTGTGTCCTGTTGAATGCACATGTGCACTTACTACTTCCTTACACTGCAAAGGGACTTAAAGATGTGTCAGTTGAGCAGAGCCAGAGTGGAGGGGTCCACCGTTCTCACGGTCACAAATCTCCCTAGGTTTATGGGTGATCAATTTAAAAAGCTCATTTTAAATAAAACTTTCATGGTTTGTTCACATTTTAAGACAATGTCTCTCCTGTACAGCCCTGGTTGGCATAGAACTCTTTATGTAGACCAGACTGGCCTTGAACTCACAGAGATCAGTCTACCCCTGCATCCCAAGTGCTGGGATTAAAGGCATGAACCACACTCAGCTCACAGAATTTAAGGCAGTATTTGTGGAATAATTATAGTCACTTCTTTGGTTAGTGCTGCCACTAAGCAGTGAGAAGAGCAACTGCCCAGGCTGGACGGGGTGTCAGCAAAGGAGGTAGCCCCACATTTTCCTCTGATGAGGGCCCTTCCCAGGTCCCTTAATTTATAGCCCGATAAGGTAGGGACCACTGGAGGAGAATAATACAGTAGACTAGGGGCTGAGAGATGCTCAGCAGTTAGCACACTGGCTGTTCTTGCAGAGGACCCAGGTTCAGTTCCCAGCACCCACATAGTGGCTAACAACCATCTATAACTCCAATTCCAGGGGATCTGACACCCTCTTCTGACTGCCTCAGGCACTGCACAACAGAGGTGCATTTACATATAGGCAGGCAATACACGAAATATACATAAAATAAAAAATAAAAGGTACTTTTAAGCCAGGAGTGGAGGTGCACGCCTTTAATCCCAGCACTTGGGAGACAGAGGCAGGCAGATCTCTGTGAGTTCGAGGCCAGCCTGGTCTACATAGTGACTTCCAGGCCAGCTGGAGCTACAGGGAGACCCTGTCTCCAAAAACAAAACAAAACAAAACAAACAAAAACCAACGAAATAACACATTAAAGCACTGTGCACTAAACATTAGGAAATTAAACAAAAGCAACAAACTTTTCATATAATTACAAGTAACGCATTTAATTTCTTTAAACATAGATTATTTGCCTTCAAGTCTCTAAAGAACACACACCTCAAATTACCACAAAGCACCACCACACCAGCAAAACAAAAGGGCGGGCAAGATGGCTTAGTGTGGAGAGAAGCTGCCAAGCCTGACACCCTGGGTTCCATTCCTGAGACCCACACGGTGGAGAACCTACTCCACAGAGTTGTCCTTTTACCTCCACATGTGTTCTGTGGCACTCCATCCCACTAAGAAGACGTCAACAAATACATCAACTGGACAGTGACTAACTGAACAGTGACTAACTGAACAGTGGCTATGAATGCACTGTAATGCATTATACAGAACAGGCATCACAGTCTAGCCTTTGTGATGGTGCAAACCAAAGGGATTTCCACTCTAGCTGGTCCTAGTACAATGACACACCTTTAAGTCACTTAAAACCATGCGCACATACAACAAACGCTAAGTACGCACTGTGCCTTGTTTTGCTCTTGCTCTTAGGGTTACAAACTAGACACGATGCACAGAGCTTTTGTTCTAATAAGAGCTCAAAGAAATGAGAAATGAGCTTGGTCTGGCAGAGAAACAGGAAGAAAGCCAGTGAAAGTCTGAACTGCATTTTCAATATTTATTTTGATTTCGTATTAGTATTTTTGCCTGCATGTATGTAAGTGCACCCGTGTTGTGCAATGCCCTCAGAGGACAGAAGAGGGAGTCAGATCCTCTGGAACTAGACTTATAGAATGTTGTTAGCCTCCAAGTGGGTGCTGGGAAACAAACCTGGCTCCTCTGCAAGAGCAGCCAGTGCTCTTCACCACTGAGCCATCTCTCCAGCCTCAGTAAGATATCTTAAGATACTGGAAAGCTAAGATTCCATGATTAGATTAGCGCTTTCAACATATTCAAATGGCAAATCAGAGTTTTATAAAAATAAAGCAAACAGAATACAAGCCATAAAATCTCAGCCCTCACTAGCACTACCACTGCTCCAAAAAGAAATTCGTGAAGAAAAGATACTTAGTTTAAAACAGCAACTGGCGAAGCTGTCCTGGGACAGAGCACAGTGTGCTGCCATATGCCTGGTCTGGGTCTTCCTCTAAGCCACAGGCAGACTGCACAGGGATGAATTGGGAAGTGAGGATAAAGAGACACCCTGAGCAGAAACATCGTCTCTGCCGCCTCTGCCCTGGGAAACAGAAAGAGGGGTCCCTGAACAAAGGGCTCTGCGGTTCCCCGCAGTCAAGGTCAATATTGCACAACAGGATCGATGTCTACACTCCACTCTTTGAGCACTTTTCCCAGGAGCTGAAAGAGCGATTGCTAATATGTTTGTCCCTTAGCCTAACCCCAGATACTAACTTAGGAGGCCTTTCCAGGGCCCTGGCCAGCTCAGTGTCTCTTCCTATGTGACTGCTCTCCCGCCCTGGCTCTTCCCAGACTATGCCACATGAGCTGGAATTTCTGTTAGTTAAAATTATCAAAAAATTTTTTTGGTCTTTTTGAGACAGGGTCTTCCTGTAGCTCCAGCTGTCCTGGAACTCACTATGTAGACCAGGCTGGCCTTGAACTCACAGAGATCCACCTGCCTCTGCCTCCCAAGTGCTGGGATTAAAGGCGTGCGCCACCATGCCCAGCTAAAATTATTAAATTTTTAATTTCAATTTATGTGTATGAGTGTTTTGCCTGAATGTTAAGTGCACCACATGCGTGCACTGCTTGCAGAGGCCACTAGAAGGCACCTGATCCCTCGGAACTGGAGTTATGGACAGTTGTTAGATCTCATGTGGGTGCCAGGAACTGAACCTGGGTCCTCTGCAAGAGCAGCCAGTCCTCCTTAACTGCTGAGTCAGCTCTCTGCTTCCACTACAATCTGATTTCACCATTAGACTCAGTACTGATCGGACATCTAGCTGACAACTTCATTTCAGTGTCTATGCCAGTGGTTTACCTACAGCTAGCATTTGATGGGGTTCTGAATAAAGGAAGATGAAGCAGGGCTGCAGGCAGAATGGGGGTGTGTAGATGTCTGAGTTCACTCTCTAGTGCTCTCTGGTGCTGTAGTAAAAGCAATGACCAAACCAACTTTGGGAGGAGAGGGTTTATCTTATCTTATAGCTCCCAGGTTCATCAGAGAACTGTGGGAAGTCAGGGCAGGAACTTGGAGCAAGGACCATGGAGGAACGCTGCTTACTGGCTTGCTCCTCTGGCCTGCCTCAGCCTGCTTTCTTATACAATACAGGACCACTGCTCACAGGGGGCTGGGTCCTCCCACATCACTCAGCAATCAAGAAAATGCCCCACAGACACGGCCACAGGCCAGTCTGATGGAAGAAATTCCTCAAGTGAGGGTCCATGCACCCAGGTGTCATGTTGACAACTGAAGCATCCAGCACAGTGTTATCTCCTGCAATCCTGCTGCAGAACTCAACAGTAGCTGTGCCATGTTCACTGAACCACACAGAGCATGTGCCCATTGCAGGAGACAACTGAGATGTGTAAACTCGGGATGCGCCTCACCAGTCCTGCGTGGGAGTAACTGAATCCAGCTTCTCGAGACACAGACCAATTGGCGTGCTCTTCAATCACCGACATATCTGGAAACTTCACCACACTGCTGAACCAGTCAAACTCCAACTCTAAGCATGGAGTTTCCTAAGAGGCAGAACAAAAGCTCTAATGTCCATGTTATGCAAGGCTGCCATACACACAACTAATTTCTGATAATAAACGCTTACCTTATTTGGATTTGACCCTGTGACACCAATAGGGTTCAGCAGATCTTCCAGACCATGTGGCACCGGCCAGAGGTTCAAAGCCATTTTCCCGGATACCAGGGTGTCTGTGTAATCAAACAAGTTTATGTTCCCCCAGGCCAGTGGGCAGTGCTCCTTAATGAAACAAAGAGAATATTCACGACACTGAGTAAATCACACAGTACATTTCCAAACACTTTTCTTCCCTGGAAAGGAGAATTCAACAGCTCTTTCTATAATCAAGGAAACATGCGTTCTTATCAAGGCCACACCGACTTTTCGAAGTCTGAGTCCTTTTTTCTTTATTCTCACACGTGTGCAGGCACCAGGTGTGACGTGTGCAGGCACCAGGTGTGATGGCTACTCTTGGTACCCTGGAAAGAGGGGACCTCAGCTGAGGAATTTCCGCCATCAGGTTGGCCTCTGGACATGTCTGTGAGGCATTTTCTGGGTTGGTAATTGACATAGGAGGCCCAGCCCACTGTGGACAGTATCATCCCTGGGCAGTTTAAGAAAGGTAGCCAGCCAGGTAAAAAGCAAGCCAGCAAGCCATGTTCCTCTATGCTCTCTGCTTCAGTTCCCACCTCCAGGTTCCTGTTTTGAGGTCCTGTCCTGACTTCTTTCAGTGTTAGATTGTGACCGGGGAGCTGTAAGTGGAAATAAACCCATTCTTTCCCAAGGTGCTTTTTGGGCATGGTATTTACCACAGCAACAGAACGCATGCTTGATAAATGTCATCCTCATGAACTCAGGGCGTGGTACTCATCAGAAATAGATTTCCCACGCTCTCCCAATAGATTCTTTCATGATATGTTTACTATCTTACAACAGCTTTCATCTATTAGTTTATGTAAGTGAAGGAAGAACAGTGGCCACAGTGGTGCCTGCCTGTCATCCCAGCACTGGGGAGGCGGAGAAGGACACTTCTGCCTTCCAGGAAACTCTAGGCCACATGGTTAAGTCAATATCAAAACACAAACCCAACAAAACCCCACCCATTTCATGAGAGTTTGGATCCGAGGTGTAAGGAACTGTCTCCGTCCCACACTTTACCTCCTTCGCGCCCTTCCGGCCTTTAACAGAGCAAATAGAAACACAAAGTCGAGCAGCCCGAGGAAGGTCGGGAATGTGTATGTCGTAATTCAGCCACTCGTTCCACCTAGGAAGAGTTCACACAGGGGAAAAGCTTTATCCAGAGCACACATGACCTGCAGTACACTGACTAAAGAGAAGCCACATGGCCACCAGGAGGTGATGGGCAGGAACCGGCCCTTCCCAGTATTTCTGGTCCTAGAATACAGACATTCAAACCTCGTAACAACACAGACAAGAACGGCAGAAACCAAGAAGGGGCAGCAAGCAACAGGTGAGCTCTCCACCAGGCTGCCAGGGTGCTGGATTAGAGGTCTGATGACCAGACGACAACTTTTGAGTCAGCTCTGTTCTTCCATCATGTGGGCCCAGGGCTGGAACTCAGGTCATCAGGCTTGGCATCAGGTGCCTTTACCTGCTGAGCCAGCTCATCCACCATTCCTAAAGAATCCTCGAAATCTACCTGTCCTATCTTTCCAATTTCATATTTATGTCTGATTTTTAATTTTTTAAATTTTATTATTTCTATTTTTTTATACATATGACTGTATTGCCTGCGTATGTGTAACTGCACCATATTGTGAAATGCCCACAGAGGTGAGAAGAGAGCATCTTGTGTCCTAGAACTGGAGTTACAGACGGCTGTTAGCCACAACATGGGTGCTGGGAACTGAACCCAGGTCCTCTGCAAGAGCAGCCACTGATCTTAATTGCTGAGCCATGTCTCTAGCCCCCAGATATTTTATTTTTATAAACACGGAAAAGTTTAAAATTTTACTTACATTTTCATACTTCTACCACAGGGATTTAAGGTCTGGCTTTACACAGAGAAGTCTTGAGGAAAAGATAATCAAAGAGAGAATTTTCTCCTTGTTTTTGTTATTTTAAGACAGGGTCTCTGTATAGCCTCAGCTGGTCTGGAACTTGCTGTATAGACCTTGCTGACCTCGATCTCGTGAGATCCACCTGCCTCTGCCTCCCGAGTGCAGGACTATGCTGTATGCCACTGTACTCAGTCACTTGCTGGCTCTGAGCTGGTGATGACCTTGAACTCCTGACCTTCCTGCCTACAGCCTCAGAGAACAGGGAACAGGGGCATGCACCACCATGCCTGGCTTAAATACTTTAATTTACTACTATGAAATCTTATTTCTTATTTTTGCAGTCTTGCTCTTAGAGAGCTTTAAAACAACAGGACAGACTTACTTGGTATTATTCTGGGCTTCTGTCTGGGGCATGTTGAAGTCTCTGGATTGGTGGGTTTTTAACAATTTGGAAAGTTTGTCCACCATTTCCTCAAAATATTGAGTTTTTAAAATTTTTGACAAATAGTCTACCCCACCACATAGGAGAAAAGCAGTATGAACAGAAAAACACCCCTGCTCTTTTAACAAAAAACATTGTCACAGCATATAATGTAAGCTCAGTGATGTACTTTCTGGCCCACAGGGTCCCTCACCTTGGTAGAGAAGCAACCCTCTCCCTGAACTTGCAGACTCTAGAAGGGTGGTCACCTGTGGAAATTTAATTACAAGCGCAGCATTTTCTTTTGACTCTGCTAGGACGCAGTGCAACCCCTCATGAAACTGACTTGTGGAGGACTTGCGTCAGCGTCCCAGCTGGTTCTATAGTCTGCCGCCAGTCTTGAGTGCTGGTAAAATGCTGCAGCTGTTCATCCAGGGTGAGCTCATTCCCAAGGACTCCAACAGGAAAGCAGCAGGCCCGGGAGGCCTGCAGGCCAGGGACGGATGGTATCACCTTAGACTTCCTTTGCATGCTTAAGCAGGAATGATTCCAGGGTTCCCAAAATCCTCCCTCTCTGAGAGAGACTGCCTTGTCTGATCCCAGAGACTCTTTAATTGAATTTCCAAGGGTCAATTTGGAAGTCACTTGAAGGAGGCTGCCCCAGAGTCCAGGTTTCCAACTGTCCCTAGAGACTAAGACCATAACCATGAACTGTTCTCCAAACGATGTCAAGAGAGAAGCAGAAAAGCCTTTAGGATACACTTTAGACAGTCAGTGACGTGACCCTGTGACTGCTGCTCATTGAACAGGAAGTCTTTCTGCCCCATATGTAAATGTCTGGTAATGTGGATAACGAACATAAAACTACAGACAGGAAGCATTCTCTTCTACTGCTCACAGTACCCCAATGCCCTCTTACCTAGGATTTGAACAAGGTACTCTTTGAGTGTTCACATTGTCACATAAGGGCTCTCCTCCATGGTAGATACCTGTTCGAACATAGATCTAAAAAAAAAAGACAAAGGTAGATGACACAAAAATACACATAAGACACAAAAATACAAAATATGTGCAAAAAAATAAGACAAAATATACATGCTCATACATGCACGCACACGTGCTCACAGAACTTAAAAACACTAACCGACGTCAATGGGACAATGGGATTTTTTTGTTCAGCCAGTTTCTCTGCGAGTTCCAGGTCAGCCTGCTCTCCATGTTGAGCTCTAGGCCAGCCGGGGTTACACAGTGAGACCCCGTCTCAAACCCACCTCCCCTCAAAAGCAGAATTTAACCAAGTCACAGTGCGTAACAGCAGAACATGCAGAGGTTTTCCCACTTCAAGGCTGGTGGCCGTTGCTCAAACTCCTGTGGCCAGAGGAACACTCAGAAAGGCACTAACAGCTCTGCAATGAGTGTGAATATTGTCACAAAATGGGATTAACAAAAACTATAAAAAGGCTCACTTTAAGTCAGACCACTGCTTTTAACCAAAGGGATTCCCAAACTTCTGACTTAAAAAGTTCCAGGTATTAGAATTACAGAAAGAATCAGAGTTGTGTGAGAGCCGAGGTAAGTATGACTAAACATTTCTTTACTGTTCTTATTTCCTGAGATTTCAGTGTTTTTCTAGTCATCTGAAAAAAATACTACAGGCCAACATACTACATAGCTCAATAAAGATTTATATAAAAAACTTACATAAAGTCAAGACCAGCACTGGCCTTACCTTATCAATGTCTCGAATATTTACATTTACATAGGTTGCACAAAGAATTTTGATTCTGAGCACGCTATTTATAACCCAGAGGGACTTGGTAGGTGTCTCTCCATTCATGTAGGGCGTGGCTGTGGAGATGCGCCTAGAGTAGGATGGCATGGTGAAGCTGTCGGTTGGCAGCTGGGAATAAAGGCTTTCCTTGGCCATCAGCATCAAGTTGGGCATCCTTCCCAGCATTATACAGCTTCTTATGTACTGTAAGAGAGCACGGAGTGAGGGGAAGCCCCTTCCCATCAGGCCTTTCCTTCAAAGACAACGTTACAAGCCTTACAAGAATTTACACATCAACCTGCAAAGTTGACTCTGAAGTCAAACGTTACAGACCACACTTCTTAGCAGTTGCTACCTGGGAGTTTCATAAAGGACTATAAAATCAGAAATTAGGGTCTACTTCGACACTGTGTTTTACCCTTAACTGTAAAACTTTAAACTAAGAAGAGGGCATCACTCCAGCAGAAGAGCGGCTTCCTTTGACCTCAAGTCACAATGAAGCCTGATCTGGGCGGGGCTCAAATATTCTTTCCTCTAAGACAAACAACACCTGAGAAGTAAGCTGGTGTGGTTGCCAATGCTGGTAATCCCAGAGCTTGGGATGTGGTGGGAGGAGGATCCTAAGTTCAAGGTCATTTTTGGCTATATACAAGTTTGAGGCCAGCCTGGGGTGCACAAGACCCTGTCTCAAAAACAAAAAACAACAGAAACAGTAAATAAAGGAGAAGAGACTCAAAATTATGGAGATATTAAAAATGTTAAAAATGGCACTGGTCTGGGGGTTGGAGAGATGGCCCAGCAGTTAAGAGAGCACTGGCTGCTCTTGCAGAGGACCCTGGTTTGGTTCCCAGCACCCATAAGGCACATGGTGGCTCACAACCATCTATAACTTTAGTTCCAGAGCACCCTCTTCTGGCCTCCATGGGCATCGTATGCATATGATGCACTTATGTGCAGGCAAAACACTCATACACATTAAAAAAAACCACTCATCTGAATTTTGAGATGGCAGGATATAGACAGTGTGTGTGTGTGTGTGCGTGTACACATGTATGTGAAAGTCAGAGTTTTATGTCAGGTAAGTCTTCCTCAGTAACTTCCCACCTTTCCCTAGGCATGGAGCTCATCAATTTGGTTGGACTGGTTGGCTAGAGACCTCCAGGGACTCTACTGTACATGTCTCCTAGAGCTGAATCACAGGCTCATGCTCCTGTCTACCTTTCCACATGGATTCTAGCAATCTGAACCCAGGCCTTCCTGCTCATGCATCAAGCACTTTACCAATGGGGGCACCTTCCCAACCTCAGGGTACAGATATTTTAATTAGTTAATTTATGTATTTGTATATGTACACGTGTGCCACAGTACATGTATGAACGTCAGTGGACAACTTGGGGAATTCATGTCTCTCTTCCACCATGTGGGTCCCAAGGATTAAACTAAATTCTAGGATTCATACCAAGTGCCTCTGCCCACCAAGGCACCTTGCTGGCCCCAGAATACAGATTTTTAGTGTTGTTACTGTGTATACACGTGGAAAGCCCTACTTTCCTACCTAGATGCCCTTCTAGACCAGACCTCCAACAACTATAGGACACAGTCTGTGCTTTGCAGCTTTATAAATCAGTGACTGGTATGTGAAACATTAGTAAACAAAATGCCTATTTAATACCATTCCCATGCCAGTGCTTGGGAGCAGGTAAGTCAAGTAAATTACACTATTTTGGGGTTAGTGTAACTGCCAGCATTTTCAGACTCTGAAATAATTATTACAGTATTAAAAAACCTTACTTGTAGAAGGGGGGCTGACAGGGAAGAGGACCGGGGTAGAGGGCGAGAAGAAGAGACATCACAGACACGTTTGAGAATATCACAGATGACCATCATAGGCTTCAGAAGCACATGAGGACCCATCAATCTCTGGTGATGGCACAAACGGACCAAACACTGAAACACTGGTGTGTTCATGATTAACACAGATGATGAACTAAGCTTATAGACGCTGCTCACCTTATACTGGCTCAGAGGGTACTTCTCCAAGAAGTACTCATCGCAGCCACACACCTTCAAGATGTACTTGCCCTGGTACTCCAGGACGCAGAGCTTCAGCTGCTCCGAGGACAGCAGCATACTGCGGGTTTTCTTCCTGATTGCTTCAGCGATGACTTGCTCTGGCACACAGTCATGGTTGATCTTCAGAGTGTATTTCTGCTTGTCGTTATTTGGAGAGACTATGACCCAAATCACTACTATGATTTGTCCTGTAACAGGGAGACACTGTTAAGACAGCCAGCACCTGCCCATTGCATTTTTCTAAAACAAGTTTCAATACGTTTGCACTAGCCATTCCCTAACCACTATCAGAAAGTGTTTCTTTCTTTTCCTGTCTGTCTCTCCTTCCCTCCCTTCTTCCCCCACCCCCTTGTCTTTTGGAGACAGGGTCTCCCTGCCTGTAGTCCCAGTTGGCTATGGAATTTGCTGTGTAGACCAGGCTGACCTTGATCTCACAGAGATCTGCCTGCCTCTACTTCCTGAGTTCTGGGATTAGTGGCGTGTACCACCACACCTGGCAGAAATGATTTCTAACTAACCTAATTAAATAGAGGAAAGATCTTCTAGAAACAGCAATGTTTGCATCTAAGGGATTCAGATAATGTACCAGCCTCCTGTTTTACTGGACGAGCGGCTCACCAGGCCTTGAGGCTGAGCTAAAGCTCCACTCTGAGCTGCACACTCATATCACAGTGTGGCTGTAGTGACTCCTGATGGCTTCAGAGACATAATGGTGCTCAAGACAGAGGCTTAGTTAGAATGGCAGAAATGGGGGGCAAGGAGGGGAAGGAAAAAGAGAATCTTTTCTGTTTCTCTACTAAGATCAATTAGGCCTTGGATTTTGTCTGAGAATCTGTCAGATGTGAGCATTCCTGTTTCTACTGGATCTTTCTTCTCTTTACGCAGGTTAAGTAGAAATCATTTCTGATGATGGTTAGGGAGTGGATGGTGCAGATGTAATGAAACTTCTGTATAGAAAAATGAAATGGACACATGCCAACTGCCATCTAGAAGCTTCCTATTATTGGGCGAATCACTTAAAATGTGTCCATTTATGCTTGATTTATGATTTTTGTGTGTGCGTGCGTGTTGCTGGGGATCAAACCCAGGGCTCTGCACATGCTAGGCAAGTGGTCTAGAGAACAGACCTTCCCACTTTTATTTGTAAAGATTATCTGCTCTACAGAGGATTTGCAAACAGCACGCTTCCAACTCTGGGATGCGCACTGGCATGCTCTCATCAGCACATGCCTCTCACCTTCAAGCAGATTTTCACCCACGTTAGACACGTTCCTTACCTGTCTACCCTGCTGTATGTAGATGTGCTCTGACGGCTCTTTACCCGTGTCTAACCTGCTGTAGATATGCTCTGACGGCTCTTTACCCATGTCTAACCCGCTGTATGTAGACATGCTCTGACGGCTCTTTACCCGTGTCTAACCCGCTGTATGTAGATGTGCTCTGACAGCTCCTTACCCGTGTCTAACCCGCTGTATGTAGATGTGCTCTGACGGCTCCTTACCTGTGTCTAACCTGCTGTAGATATGCTCTGATGGCTCCTTACCTGTGTCTAACCCGCTGTATGTAGACGTGCTCTGACGGCTCCTTACCTGTGTCTAACCTGCTGTAGATATGCTTTGACGGCTCCTTACCTGTCTCTAACCCGCTGTATGTAGACATGCTCTGACGGCTCTTTACCCGTGTCTAACCCGCTGTATGTAGATGTGCTCTGACAGCTCCTTATGTAGATATGCTCTGATGGCTCCTTACCTGTGTCTAACCCGCTGTATGTAGACGTGCTCTGACGGCTCCTTACCTGTGTCTAACCTGCTGTAGATATGCTCTGATGGCTCCTTACCTGTGTCTAACCCGCTGTATGTAGACGTGCTCTGATGGCTCCTTACCTGTGTCTAACCCGCTGTATGTAGACGTGCTCTGACGGCTCCTTACCTTTATCTAACTTGTTGTAAATGTGCTTTGGCAGCTCTGGGGAAGACTCCACATTGGGAGGGTAGACATACATTGCTCTGCTGTGAGGGGAGTTCAGATCCCGCAGGTCCACGGCTTCTTTGCACACACTCAGAATGTTCCGTCGGAAGTCTTGGACTTCCGGATCTTTAACCATATCAAATTCACACACTGGCATGCCAATAACAAAACCTGAAAAACAGGATGTAAATAATGTAGCACAGATGTGGCTCTCACAGAGAACAGGAAAATTTGGAAAAGCATAATAGAAGCAAGAAGTTTCTCTGGGTTAAAATAACCTTCGTGAGCACATTCTATACTTTTAAACACTTCTAACATGTAAGATGCATCTTTCATACACATAGTAATGAAATGTAATACACCTCATTGTTGCTGTTTTTTACAGAGAAATACAACTGGGCTAAAACAAATCTAAATCCTCCTCCCTACAGAGCATCAAGGGTTAAAACTTTAGATTTACAAAGGTTTTCATGGAGAAACTACCTAAGATTACAAGGTCCCAGCTCAGACAGAGCATCGTAATCGTGGCAGCGAGTAAGCGGTATAGTTATTTGCAGTTTAGTATCACAATGTCATTTAGCTGAAAATTGTATCATACCGATTTCTCGATTGAGGATCTTTTCTTCACGGTTGCCTACTGGTTCAATTACTTTTAAAAAGGGTTGAAAAAGCCGAAGGTCACAAAGGCGTCTTGTTTCATCAAAAAATTCTTCCCTTTCTGCTTCCTGGGTAACACTTACGAAAATGTAAGAAGACTCATCCTGCAGAAGCTGGTGGAGAGGGTATTTCCTGGCTTCCTGAAACAGTTCGTGCTTGATGGTGACTAGCATAGCCTCACGGAGGCACTCCAAAGTCACTATCATTCCGTTTGGGAGTAAACACTCCACTAGGATTCGTGGGGGCATCAAGTGGATGCCCCACAGTTCTCCTGATGACGGTCGCGGAGGCATGGTGCCGATCCTCTACAAGTTTAGCTTCACATAGAAAGCTACTTCAAGGAGTCAGATGAAGGGCTGCCCCAAAACAGGACCCTGAACAAGAGAAGGAATGTAGCTGTTAGAGAGAAGCCACTCCAGTGAGCCTTCTGATGGCAAAGGGTAAAATTTCAACCTGTGTAGTTTGAATTGATCAGACCAGTAATAACTTATCTGAGTATTTTAATAGAGATGGTTGATCTAAATTAGACCATAAAGACTTGATTTCAACAGAGACTAGAAAAAGCAACTTGCATTTGGTTATATTTAATGAACACATTTAAAAAGTATCGAGGGCTAGAAAGATGGCTCAGCGGTTAAGAACTCTTCACTGGTTGTTCTTCCAGAAGACCTGGGTTCAAATCCCAGCACCCACATGGCAGCTAACAACTGTCTGTAACTCCAGTCCCAGGGGATCTGACAGCCTCTTCTGTCCTCTGTGGGCACTGCACAACACGGTGGACTTACCTACATGCAGGCAATACATGCATACACATAAAAAAAAAATAATTTTAAAAATAAAATAAAAATAGAAAGTATCGAATACATTTTTTTGTTTTGTTTTGTTTTTGTTTACTGAAGCAGGGTCTCCCTTTAGCCCCAGCTGTCCTGGAACTCATTATGTAGACCAGGCTGGCCTTGAACTCACAGAGATCCTCCTGCCTCTGCCTCCCGAGTGCTGGGACTACAGGCGTGCACCACTACGCCCGGCAGCATTTTTTTTTTTTTAAAAAAACCTTTAGTTTCAGTTTTGTGTGTATATGTGTCTGTGTGTGGTGTCTGTGGGTGTCTGGATGTGAGTGTGGGTGCCCACAGAGGCTAGAAAAGGCCATTTGATCCCCTGGAACTGGAGTTACAGGTGGTTGTGACAGGCCCAGTGTGGGTGCTGGGAACTCAACTCAGGTCCTCTAGAAGAGCAACAACCTGTCTTAACCACATCTTGCCAGCCCTTGTACAGATGTTCTGTCAGGTCTTAGGGGGAAGGGAAGGGGGAGGGAGGACAGGGGAAGGGAGGGGAGAGAAAAGAAAAACAGGAGGCAGGAGAGATGGCACAGTGGTTAAGAGCACGTGTTCCTCCTGTAGAGGAAGAACATGGTTTGGTCCCCTGCACCTACATGGTAACTCTAGTTCCAGGGGGTCTGACACCCTCTTCTGGCCTCCACGAGCCTTGCACATGATATATATCCATACGCACACACACAAGCAGGAAAAACATACACATAGAATAAAAAGAACTTTTTTTTTAATGAAAGGTTGTAATTCAATAAAAACTTCCCACCACAGCAGGCCTGGTGGGGTAGGTCTGCAACTGCAGCTACTTAGCTGTGGCAGGAGAATCAAGGCTCGCTTAAGTGACTTGGCAAGACTGTCTCAAAGTTAAAAACAGCTCAGGGTTAGCCGGGCATGGTGGTGCATGCCTTTAATCCCAGCACTTGGGAGGCAGAGGCAGGCAATCTCTGTGAGTTTGAGGCTAGCCTGGTCTACACAGCACACAGCCCCGGGGTCCATCATCTTTACCATTCTCCACTATTTTCTGGAGCAAAAGACTTGTGCTACTGAGGCTCTTCTAGGTCAAAGGGCCTTTGCTTACTTTCAATATAGGTGTAGTTCAGAAAACCCCCATTTCTGCCTTCTTCACTCTTACCCCAACCTGCAGCACTGAGGAGGCTGGGTCCTAAGTGGCAGGGTCCTTCTTCCCTTCTTAAATCAATCTTCACAGTCTCCGTTGGTTGGTGGGACTGGTTTCTGTCCAAGGTGTTATTTTAGGTCATTCTGTTTTGCTTCAAGAGATCTCACACAGTCTAGGCTGGCCTTGAATTTGCTATATATCTGAGGCTAACCTTGAACTTCTGGTCCTCCTGCCTCCTTCTCCCAATGGCTGGGGTTACGGCATGTGACACAATGCCTGGCTTCCATTCTGTTTTTATAGATTGGTGTCGAATTCCATGGAGCTGGAGTTACAGACCATTTAGAGCTGCCTGACGTGTGTGCAGGAACCTGCACTCCAGTCCTCTGCAAGAGAAGCACGGTTAACTGCCGAGTCTTCTCTCCAGCGCCCCCCCCCCAACTTTTTTTGAGACAAGGTCTCCCTGTAGCCCCAGGTGGCCTGGTACTCCTTATGTAGATCAGGCTGGTTTTGATCTCATAGAGATTCACCTGCCTCTGTCTCCCAATTGCCGGGACTAAAGGTGTGTGCCACCATGCCCGGCTTCATTTGGTTTTTTAAAGCCTGATCTAGGTAGATAGTCACGTAAGCTAAAGTGTCATCAACAGTTTCCCTGGAGGCCTGGTGATGGATCTGCAGTGATGCTAGCTAGCACCTGCTCAAAACAACCCAGTCAGAGTCTCCCTGACTGAGATGGACTGTTTTGCACACACAAGGGACCCATGACTGGCAGTGTTCCACTCACTCCTGGTTAACAACTTAAAATAGTCTTAAGACTATTAAGCATTATTAGGGTTTGAAGGCCCCTGATTTTGGAGATGACAACAGTCATCTTTTGGAAGACTCCATCAAAACCTATAAATCAGGTCTGGTGAGATGGCTAAGCAGGGAAAAGCACTTGCCACACAGGCCAGACTACCTCAGCTGGATCGTGGATTCCATGACAGAAAGAATTGACTCCCTAGAGCTGTCCTCCGAATTCTACATATGTGCCATGTATGTGTGTGTGCTTGCAACACACACACAAATTAAAGAACGTGTAAGTTTTCTCTTAAAAAACAAAACAAAACTCAAGTTCATCAGCCGGGCGTGGTGACACACACCTTTAGGCCCAGCACTTGGGAGGCAGAGGCAGGCGGATGTCTGTGAGTTCCAGGCCAGCCTGGTCCACATAGTGAGTTCCAGGACAGCCGGGGCTACAGGGAGACCCTGTCTCAAAAAGACAAAAAAACCAAACAACGCCCCCCCCCTCCCCCCAAAAAACCAAGTTTGTGCCTTGCTGTTTACATTTGTATTTTCTTTCATTTGGAAAGCAAAACTGGGAAGTAGTGCCACGGAAGGTGAAGCAAGAGATCCAACAAAAAGAAAAGAACCAGAGAAAGGAATGGGGAGACCCAGCCAGCCTGCTGGGCATATAAGGAAGAAATGAATGGGGAGACCCGGCCAGCCTGCTGGGCATATAAAGAAGACTAAGACGGGAGGGTAAGAGCACTGGCTGCTCTTGCAGAGACCTAGGTTTGGGTCCCAGCACCTACATGGTGGTTTACAACTGTCCCTAAGTCCAGTTTCAGGGTACCTAACACCCTCTTCTGGCCTCCTCAGACACTGTATTTACACACATATAGGCAAAACACTCATACACATAAGATAAAAATAAAACGTTTAAAAGAATAAGACAGATTTGTTCTGGCTCTTACAAGATGAAGTTCAGGGGCTGGAAAGATGGCTCAGCGGTTAAGAAACAAAACAGAATGACTGGTTGTTCTTGCAGAAGACCTGGGTTAGAATCCCAGCACCCATATGGCAGCTAACAACTGTCTGTAATTCCAGTCCCAGGGGATCCGACAGCCTCTTCTGTCCTCCGTGGGCACTGCATGACACAGGTGCACTTACCTACGTGCAGACAATACATGCATACACATAACATTTAAAAAAAAAGATGAAGTCCAGAATGTGAGGGCCACACACTATGTGCGATGAGGTAAGTAAACTCATAGTTATAAGTGAGGAACAATGCTATCATGATGGACAAGTGTGGCTGCTGACTCAGTGGAGGTGTGGAAGGCAGTGCACAGAAGGTAGCACACAGATTGTTTAGGAACAAGCAGGAGTTAAACAGCAGGCAAAGAAGGTGAGGAGAAAGGACCCAGAAACCCGTCACCCCGACTTCTCTGTTTCACACCCACTGCCCTGTCACCTGTCAATAAACTTCTTCTAACCCTGCCGCCCTCAGGACTCTGGGATGGAGAACTGCAAAGGTCTAAATGGTCTCCCTGGAGCTCTGCCTGCGCCCTCCAATCCATCTGCCATCACACATCCTGTGTGACCTAGACTTTAAGCCTAAATGAATCAGACAAGCCTGCTCTATGAGTTCTCGACTTGCAAACACGTGTCTAGGAGGTGCTCCAAATGACAGCACATGTGGGTGATGAGGAGGAGGGATCGCGGGATCACTGGCCGCCTTTGAACCTTGGGAAACGTGGATGCTAACTGGAAGACCACAACAAAATGTAACAAAAGTATATTGACAGTTGAAAATATTCTCCAAATTTACAGAAGAGATCCACTGAAATAACAAGATTTAAAATATAATCATTGAATTTTCTGTACTTTTATTTACATGTGTGCAGGTGTGTGTGCAGAGGTGCATGGAGAGCAGCAGTCAATGCTGCTGTCCTCAATCGTTTTCCACCTTATTTTTTGGGACAGGGTCTCTCACTGGCCTGAAGCTCACCAAATAGGCTAGGTTGGCTGGCAGCAAAGCCCAGGGATCTGCCTGTCTCCTCCACACCACCACGTCTGGCTTTTATCTGATGTGGGGTTCAAACTCAGGACCTCATGCTTACATGGCATGATTCACCCACTGAACTATCTACCCAGCCCCATGTATTTCCTATGCTTTTAAAAGAAAATCCACTGACTTGTAAAAAGACCCAATGGGGCTGGAGAGAGCTCAGTGGTCAAGAACACTGGCTGTTCTTCCAAAGGACCTGAGTTCAGTTCCCAGCACCCACACTGTGGTCATCCTTATCTCCAGTTCCAGGGATTCGACGCCCTCTTCTGGCCTTCAAGGGCACTGCATGACACAGGTGCACTTACATACATGCAGCAAAACGTCCATACACACAAAATAAAAATAAATCCAAACAAACACAAAAGACTAGATGGATCAAATCCATGTGCAGAATTATAAGTGACTTAAATAAAGGTTTTAAAAATACATTAAACTCCCTGAAGAATGCAAGCCAACATCACTGACTGCAGACTTTCTGTCAGCATAAAAAATGGTCAGACGCAGCCAGGCGTGGTGGCACACGCCTTTAATCCCAGCAGGCAGATCTCTGTGAGTTCAAGGCCAGCCTGGTCTACACAGTAAGTTCCAGGGACAGCTGGGGCTACAGGGAGACCCTGTCTCAAAAAGACGAAAAAAAAAAAAAGAAGTCAGATGCAAACAAAACAAAACCGTACCACACAGCAGCTGTGCTTACTGTCTTCTATGACAAATAGTGCTCAGAAGTCTCTGTCCTAGAATCACTGGGACCACTTCTGTACACAGCAGCCCAGGTCTCTGTGTTCCTCAGGAGTCTGCCTGGCCGGGCAGGCAGGTTGATTTCACTGCTCATTCTGCAATGCTATCTTATGGACAACTAACTTCCTACAAGTCAACTCTTTCCTCAGACAGTAAATGTGACTGTAGCTATAAAACCCTTGGAACTTTTGGAAGGTAGGCGTGACTGACATCACAGTAACAACCAGAGTAGCCTGGACAAACACCTTTCTATTTGTCTGTCTTTGACTTCTCGGGGCAGGCCCCATTCAGAACAAAACTGCTACCCCAGAGCTTGCACCATGAAGTAGAGGGAAAGCAGACGGGGCTAACTCCCATCTTACTGCTCTGTGTGGCCCATGCAGGCAACCCCCCTGGGGTGCGGGCACTAGTAAACCAGAAGCAGAGATGTGACCATTAGAAAATGGACTTTAGTTCTGGGGAATGCCAGAGGCTAACCCAGGGCCTCATGCATGTCAGCATCATACTCCCTGCTTTTTGAGACAACAGTCTCACTATACTATCCAGGCTTCCTGAATGTCGGGATCACAGGCATGTGCTGCTACAGATAGGTGTGTGCCACCAGAGAACTGACTGGTTCAGAACACCAGAACTGCAGTCATTCTTAAACTAGTGATAATTCTTTGTTTTGTTTGAGACAAGGTCTCGTGTAGCCTAGGCTGGCTCTGAACTAGCTAATGTAGCAGAGGCTAACTCCTTCTGCCACCCCCCATATCTGTATTACTAGGTGCTACTATGCCCAGCAGAGCAACAAAGCCAAGAAGGAAAGGAAGGTTTTCTCTTCGTGTGTATGAACTGTCCCATCAGGGTGGTGCTGTTTGTACCCAGAACTCACACCTCCTCTGTACTACTGTGTTACATTCCTTCACCAAGCTTGATTACTGTGCTACCCTGCAGCACACAGCACGGCAGAGCTTTCTGCGCTCGAGGAACGGGACCACCCCAGCTGGAGCCAGCTTTGGGCATCACCCCCCACCCCCAGCTTCTAGTGGTCACCTCTTGACTGAGGCCAGCCTGCCAGATCATCACCCCTGCAGACCCTTCCAGAACTCAAGGAAGGGCTGGTTAATGACAGTCCATGAACTAAAACCATTACCCAACTGCAGGTTATGAGTCTATGTATAAACACAGGTGAACAAGGTAGAGCTTTTCTGACTTTGGAAGAATACTCTGTTTAAAACACCTTTAAAAACATCAATATTTTATGTGGAAGAGAAAATCGTGAACCTAAGCTACTCTGCAACATTCATCTGCAAACTTAGGGGTGGATATACGCTGGATAAACTGGCAGCCTAAGCCTCCAACAGCTTCAATCTGCTAAAGCGAGCAGCTAGCACTTCCTAGGCCTCCATGTCTCACAAATGTAGAAGCTGTTTTTTAAGCTGTTTGTTGAATGATCAATGTTTCTGATTTTTGAGTGTACAAAGATAGACACTGATAAGCCAAACTGAGATCAACAGGAAAGGATCAGTATTTACTTCCACAGCTGTCACATCACTCACCACCTAGAAAATTAAATGTGCTTTCCAAGCATTAAAAAATTCTTACATGTGTATGAGTGTTTTACATGCATGTACGTATATCCCACGTGCACGCCTAGAGGCTGAGGAGGCCAGAAGGTGGTGTATCCCCTGGAAGTAGAGTTACAGACGGTTATAAGCCACCATGTGGGTGCTGGGAACTGAACCCAGGTCTTCTGCAAGAGCGGCCCGTGCTCTAATCCTTGAGCCATTTCTTCAGGCCCCAATGCTTTCCAAAGTTTTCAACTGCCAAGTGAACCTTTAGTCTGACATAAA